TGAGTGGTTTCGCTTCGAGTCGACTGGTTGTAGTGCCAGCGCCACTTACTGGCGACGAGCTATCTTATGGCTGTCGCACCGGGTGTAATTTTTGATAATCTTGTCAGATAAATTTCTCTTGCAACCGCGGGATACCTGGTTTTATTTTGCACTTTGGACAGCAATTTTCAGCGTATGTGATTACAATGCAAAGATTGGTGAGCAGTCTCGGACGGTGATAGCAATGATTAGTAAGGGAAGAAAGTACGTAGTAGTCACGTGCTAACGCCGCTTTGACGCGACCTCTTGGCATTGAGCAACGCGTCGTTCTCCTTTGTCCAGCGGGGTACCATTCTAACAACCAACACCTCAACTGCTCCATCACTACATGGCGTCCGTCTTCAATCAAAAGGCTGCTACACTCTATTGGAACACGACCGGACTTGGATTCTTACACACGCTCTTCAACCAGATCTGACCATGTCGATGATAGCGGGACGGCCGCGTAACGCCCTTCTCTGACCCGATTCCTTCTCTCAACTTGCAAGTACCACGCATGCCACTTTCCCCATAGTTCCCGACGCCTGTCTTCCATTTGGAATGCGGTTCGTCCGCGCCTCACCTACTTGCGCAATCGACACTCACCCGAGCCTCTTGGCATGGTCTCAGTGGGTTGCTTGCATGTCGGCTTGCGCGCCTCGCTGTTAGCATCGAGGTTGTGGGTGAGGGAGGTAGGCTCGGATCTTAACCCTATCCATCTATTGGCATTCGTTCCAGCCTTTTTGTTGGACGAAGAGCATCGCGGTCATGTCGCCGACCTTCCAATTAGCCCCTGCTAGACAGCTCACTTATGGACTAGTCAGGCTCGGCGCAAAAGGAAGAGTCGAGGTACGGGGGCGAACAGCTCAAAATGAGATGGCATGTGCCTGTCGGGGTATTAAAGTTCTCATTCGAGAACCACGTCGGTATCTCATCCGTGCAACAGACTCTGGTCACAACAGATAGCTTCACGATGAAACAGCAATGGCAAGAGAAAGAGTAGTGATGGGAGATGTCCGTCACCCCGGCTGGGGACTGACGCTGGACTCTTGAATTCCGCTAGCACATGGGCTGCTCGTTTCTAAGACTCGTACCGAAGTTGCCACGCCAGGTCCCGACAATCACAACGTCCCCATCACGCATCAAGCAAGGAGCGAATAGGCAGAAGAAGAGCGCGGTTTGACTTTTGTCGAGCCTGACACACAGATGTATCAACCTGTTCTGGCTTCGGTCGGCGCTGAGATCCACTCGTCGGAAAGGCGAAAGCCCAGCGAGGTCTCTACGTCTCAGGCAGATATCATCACCATTGGCGAACCGCCCCGCTCCGGATCTGATGCCTTGCAGTTCATGTCTGATTGTCTTATGGATGGACGAGTGTTGGACCAGGTTTGCAACGCTTGCACTGTGCGATAACTTGGATCGAGCAGGCTAGTAGTGTTTAGCGATGAAGATGTTCGTGCATCTCTCCTACAGGGATGAAAATCCCGATCATTTCTCTACCCTCTCACACTGTGTGCAACATCACGGAGCCTGTGTCACGATGCAAGTCACTAGACACTAGTCGCTCAACAGCGATATCTGACCAGTCGCGTTAATCGTCAACATGCATGTTTAGCGTGTGTGGGCATCGACGAGCGTGTGCCCGTTTGGTCGAACAGTGCTTTTGCCCGTTACGATCAGAAATACGGTTTTTGAGGATGTCCTTTGTCCGTATTGTAATGCCCTTCGTCACCAGTCGAATGGAAGCGTAGTGGCAACAAAGACTAGTCTCCGAGAGTCATGCAATCACAAACAGAGAGAAGCTTCCTGGCATAACAACCAGCGAAGATTGAGTCAAGAGAAGGCAGTTTCATGGCCGTTGTGTTATTCGATTAGGATTTTCTGATCGGCGAGTTTTGAATCATGAGGAAGATGGTCCTGCTGCAATGGAGCGAACCCAGCAGCCTTGAAGACGTGACGGCGTCTTCCCTGGAAGCACCATGGCTCTTGCGCTTTTTGTTTCGTGGGATGTATATCGAATTCCATTGTGTGTTATGAGACTAATCTCAAGGCGACTAAGCGAAGAGAATGTCAACTGGTTATAGCAAAGCCGCGGGACACCGGAAGCCACATTGCATCACTTCTCATATCAGACTTCAGAGACGGGACCTCTCAAGAGTGAGGCTCAAGGTCTAGACCTGTCCGTCCCTGTCGTCTGGAGCAGCCTTGCAGGTCCCTTCGTTCTACCGACTTTGCTTTCTGGTCATCCTGTCACTCTCTTTCGCGATGTTGTCAAGTTTCTGCATGGGGCGGAACAGCGATACACCTTTCAAGGCGAAACTCAGCATAGCTATTGGTGTGGAAATAGAAGTGCGTAGTGAGGGGTATTGTGGGTGGTTCATTTGGCTGTCTTTCGAGACGGCCACTCTTTTTCACATAAGTCACCGATTTCCGGGAGCAAATACTACGCTAACCGTTGCAGGCTGAGGAACATGCGACTCCGTGTTCAGCTCCTCGTATTTCTGCAGACACCTGCAGCGGGTATACCCATTTCTTATGAGCGTCTGCAGCCAAGCGAGCTAGCACATATTAAGCCGGTGGAGCAACATTGCAAATGCAGAATACCAAGACGACTAGACATCTCATGCGACCCTTGGCCATCTGCTTTTGCTCTTTTTTCTTTCCAGTCTTCCAGATCTGTCTACAAGCAATCGATTCCAGGTTTTCAGCCACTGCTACCTCCGGCTTTCTCAACCTCTTACGAATACGAAAACCTGCTTTGAATGCTATCGCTCGGGCTTGGATATTCTGCAAAGACAACTAGATTAGTGCACCTGATCAATCTCACGATATGACGGTACTCAAGTTCTGCCAATAGGAGGAGTGACGATTGGGATTGCGACAAAACGAGGATAGTTTCCCACTGCCCAACAATATTGGCACCACTGTATAGTACAAGTTGTTCAATCTAGGTCCAAGCCACATTCAATGAACTGGTGCAGCTGTGCGTTCACGAAAACTCGATGACGAAGAAACCCCATGGTAGCCACGATGATCGGAATCTTCTAAGTTAGTCACTTGAATCCTACACAGCTTGTCTCACGGTCCTCACGTTCATCATGGGCTATCTGGGTTGCCATTGACGTACGAGGATCACTTGCAGCATGGTTCATCATGACGAAGTTTGGCCGATGTCATTGAGTCATGACAACTCAGAACATTATAAGGTCATCGTGAGACATGAAGCAGTGACGACCTACTGAACAGGATCACTACTTCTGTATCAAAATGTTGTTATACATAGTATACGTTTCTTGTGCTTTTTTGCTGCCATTCTTTGTTCGAGCCGATACCTGCTCTACCATTACGGATCTTGGGGGCATCGATGTCAAATACTCTCTCGATTTAGCTTACATTGAAGAGCAGACGCAATACTGGTCGACGTCATGCTCGGCGCTTCTCCCTTCGTGCATCATTTTCCCCAAGACGGTAGAAGAGGTCTCGACAGTGATGAAGGTGCTTGCTAACACTACGGAGCCTTTCGCCATCAAGTCTGGAGGGCACAACCCGAACAACGGCTGGAGCAGTGTTGCCGGGGGACCCCTGATCTCCATGGATCGTTTTGACCAGGCCGTTTTGGATAGCAGCACTGGTATTGTCGACGTAGGTCCGGGCAATCGGCTAGACAGTATTTCTGCCAAGTTACAAGGCTCTGGGTGGACGTTTGTTGGCGGACGAATTGGCAACACTGGAGTTGGTGGTTTGGTCCTTGGCGGGGGACTTAGCTACATGTCGACACAATATGGATGGGCGGCTTCAAGTGTTCTAGAATACGAAATCGTTTTTGCAAACGGCACGATTGGTTACATCCGGAAAGACAACAACCCCGATCTGTTCATCGCACTCAAAGGAGGTGGCAACAACTTTGGTGTCGTAACAAACTACAAGTTACAAGCCCGCCGCCAGGGCAACGTATGGGGTGGCAATCTTGTTTACTTACGTACACCGAAGAAGGATGCAGAGCTACTTCAAGCTGTACGTGATTGGACCGAGTACAATGAGGACGACAAGGCAGCTGTCATTGTCACTGCTGAACGCACTAATGTCAACATCATCGACTCATGGATTATATTCTTATTCTACGACGGCGCAACACCACCACCGGGACTTTTCAAAAACTTCACCGATGTCAACCCTCTTCTTGACACAACACGTACGCGAACATATGCCGACTTGATGGCGTTTAGTAATTGGGTTGTACTCAAGGGTAGTGTTGTTGATATCGCCACTGAAACCATACCCATTCCTTCTCGCGCCAATGCAGTCGAGATCATGGAGGGTCTTCATAACCATTGGCGCAACATCTCTGGAACAACGCTCCTTGTGCCAGGCATAGTCGCATCCATCGCATGGCAGCCTTTCCCTAAACGCATCGCGCAAAAGGCTCGAGAGCTTACTCCTGACCTGATCGATGCCGACGCAAGCGTTGACCGTATCATTATCGAAATGAATTACGCCTTTACGCCCAAAACGCTGTATGACAGCATGGCTGACACTATGGAAGCCACGTACACGGGCATTCGCAATAGAGTGTTGGCATGGCAAGCAGATGGAAAGTTGCCAGACGCTTATTTACCTGTTTTTATGAACTATGGATTCTATCGCCAAGATTACTTTGGCAGGTTGAGGCCGCAGAGTCGTGCGCTGGCGAAGAGGGTTGCGGATGCTGTCGATCCAAAAGGTTTGTTCCGGTCGCGAACCGGAGGGTGGAAGCCTTGATATAGGGCGCATTGGAATGGAGAGCGTTTTCTGATCGTGAGTTGGGTACTACGTCATGTACTGATGTGTGTAGAGGCGAGTCAACAAAATGATTAGTGCTGTAGTATCAAGCTGAAACTGCAAAACATCTTGAGCTCTTCAATATTTGTTCTTGATTAACAACCCACCGCACCGGACGTGATACATAACGACCAGGTACTTGGGAAAGTACAGATAAGACAGGCCTGTTGAAGTCATCTTTGGCAGGCTGCGCACCGACCCCACCATGCTGGGTTCCATTGGGCTTTCTGGTGACCGCGAACTCTAAACCAAAGACTCGCTCCTTGTCATATTCAACTTTGTGGGATATCTACGTAGTACTCGTTGATTCGTGTATTAGATCGACTGACAAAACCGCGGTTCGGTTAGAGAAACTTCCAGACCGCGTTCGAACACGAGCATGATGACATGCAGCAAGGGAAACGATTCGGCAGTTGAGAAGGCACTAGCAATCAAACCTAAATATTGCGCGCAGTAGTTGATTGACATAGCCACACGGCTGGGTGCTTAATATTTCTCAGTCCTGTCCGAAATAACACCGTTCGCTAGCCAAGTGTTGAAACGGAGTTGTGCCTGTTTCAGGTGAAATGTTGTAAGGCCATTTGCGTCATCGCTTCAACCAGATGCGCGGCTAGTACCAATGCTGGAGTACATACTTACATGAAGGGATGTATACTACATGTACACGCGTGATCAGCCAATGCAGTGAGGATGAGGCCCCACTTGGATTTTCTTCGTACAAGGTACTCGGAGAAAATATGTGTAGACGATTAAGATGTGGGGAATCGAAGCTCTGAGCGCCTGACCAGGACTGGCGATGCATCCACAGTTGGAAGGGGACAAAGCATGAAGATTTGGGCATCGTGCACAAAAAGAAGCTGATTACTCTTTGCCCCGCTATCTACGTGAATCTCTGCAATGTGCCTGACAATGTTTCTTACTGTGGCGGCATGTACCCGGGTCAGCAACTGGGATGAAACCACAGACGACCATGTCTGAGAACACGAAAGTCTTTTTTAAGGTGCCACAACTTGAGGTGAGCAGGTTCGACCAGGTCATAAGATATCAACGTCACTTGCTTATCCAACGGCATCCAGTCGACACAGTCCACGAGTGAGAAACGAACAAAGTTTCTCAAGGACAAATCAACGGACGATTGATGGCTCTCCTGGCAGACTCATTATCTTGAATACCATAATCGCTAACACGTAAGGGGACACTATGAACAGCTGACATTCGACTCGCGTACTCAGTGCGTCATAAGTCGAGCGTGGTGGCGTTATCTCCAGGATCTCGTAAACGGCAACGGGAACTAGAACAAGTCGCGCGCATCTAAACGCCCTGCGCCCTCCGCATGCTCGGGCTATCGGCCACGAGGGTCGATACTTAAATTTCCCCACATCTTTCGGACATGCGCTAGCGCCATTTCGGCCATTAGCCTTTTTTCGTGTGCTTCAGAGATGACGCATTCCTTTCGCGTCGTAGTGCTTACATCAATATAAACATCCAGCGAAAATACTATAGCATAAACGGGCATCCGCAGGAGTTTTGGGAGGATGCCGAACATCTCGCTTAAAAGATGCTTTCGATGATTTGTCGAAAAGGAGTAACATGGCCGCCACGGGTGAATTTGCAAAGTTTACGTTTGCACGGTAACCACAATAATCCCTCAGCGTCTCGGTCTTGTGTCTTCAATCAACCCCAGATAACGGTGTTCTGCTATCGAGCAGTATATGGCGCAATGTCGGCACTTCTTCTTATTCGGCAGCGTGTCGGGAGAAAATAAACAATGGAGACGGTAAACTTGGCGATACACGACCAAGTACCCATGACCAGGATACGTGTCTGCACGCAGGCAGTTTGACTCTTCCCCTTGTACCTCGTCATCCCACACTCATCCCATAAACAAAGCTCGTTCCACCTACTTATGAGTAAGTTGTGTAATCGACACTCAAAGGTCGGCTGGATATATTGCTTAATGCTTAGTTGTTAGCCATCTTGTATGTTCCGGTATTTGCTTAGTGTTATTGCGTTATATGTAAGAAGATTTGTAGTCGAGAGCTCGGACATGATAGCGACCTCATACGTAGTATGAGTACCTAATGGGGGCTATGTCGAGTGTCCTTCAACTGTCGTAATCACCTTGGTAAGCATTATCAATACTGGTGTCTTGGACTTCATCGCGGGTCTTCCCGGCTTTTAAGCTAATGTTGCCACTCCCCATGTACGTATCCTCTGGGCTGTGTATTGCCGCATTGTCTGCACGCGAAGCGGTCTGTGCTTGATCTGTGGCTTCCATCCATCTCTAGTCTGCTGTTGAACCTTTTGCGTCATTTGTCGCTTGTTCTCGTCGGGTTAAACGAAGGCTGATATAAGTGAAGACTACATGGGGTTTCATTAATTTAGCCGCCATGGCGTGCTGGGAAAGGGGAAAAACATGGAGAAGACCTCATTGCGGGGTGTGGACAAGAAGGAATCGCCATTAGCGAGGGGCGCGGGTAATCGTTGGATCATTCCGTGTTACTGAAATTTCCCATTGTGGTAAACATCCTTGCTTTATGCAGCGGGAAAGTAGCCTGTTGGTGAGGAAAAGGGGTCCACATGCGCCGCCTTCACACGCGCATGATGTTCGCTGGAATGGCTCCGACAATATTTATGCGAAACTAGCCAGGTTGCGCGCAGGTACCGGCCAACTGAGTTAAACATCGGCAATTGTAGGTGAACCGCACAGCCATGTAGTCGTCATGTTCTTAGCATTCTCTTCAGTGTACATAATGGGGTTCTAGGTGCGTACAAACGTTGTCATTCAACTGTCAATTCGCTCTTTTTGCGCACGTTCTCATCATGCCTTCGCCGCTCAGCATCGGACTGACGGTCGCACTTTCTGCGACTGGTGTTCTCGCACATCCACTTTTCAACGGCAAGCTCATTTCCAGGGCAGAGGATCTTCTTCCCGAATATGATTATGTTGTTGTAGGCGCCGGTGCGTCGGGCCTTACCGTTGCCAATCGACTATCCGAAGATCAGAGTATGTCACTCTCCTAACAAATATGAGATATTCTTGATAGTAGGTGATTAACGCTGCTCTGCAATAGATGTAAAAGTGTTGATTATCGAGGCCGGCCAATTGTAGGTTGACCAAACCCGTATCGCCAGCGACACGCTAACCCAACCGCTAGCGACCAAGACGAGCCTTTCGTGACGATTCCAGGCCTTGCTGGTGGCGCCGTCGGAACCAAATATGATTGGAACCTCACGTACAGCGCAAATCCCCAGGTCAATAATCGCTCTGTTCCTATTCCTCTAGGCAAAGTCGTTGGCGGATCGACTAAGCTTAACCGCATGGTCTTCGATCGTGGTTCGCAATCTGATTACGATACATGGGAGGCCTTGGGAAACAAAGGATGGAACTTCCAAAGCATCCTGTCTGGTTTCATCAAGGTATATATTGTTTTGCTAGCAGCCTCATTGATGACTCTAACTGGTTGTCAGTCAGAGACGTTTACACCACCAACGGCCGCAATCCAGGCAGAATACAACATCAAGTATAACCCCAACAACTACGGCACCAAGGGTTACATCCAATCGACTTTCTCTCCCTTTTTCTGGCCCACCACCAGTAAGTTCTGCAAGTGAAAATGGATTGCCTGACTTCTATTAACACGTACCAAGAAAATTTCGTCAACGCTGCGAAAGCACTTGGCATTCCGATCAATGACCAAGCTACAGGAAAGGCATTTGGTGGTTACTTCTGCCCGCACAACCTGGACTCCAAGACCGCGACGCGTTCTTCAGCAGAAGAAGCCTACTATGCATCTGCACAGAAGCGCTCCAATTTCCACCTTCTACCCAGCCACCAGGTGATGCAAATACTCACAAAGAAGGTAAACGGTGTGCCCAAAGTGACTGGCGTTAAGTTTGCCGCTTCCGCTGGTGCGGCAAGCCAACAAACAAAAGTTAACAAAGAGGCTATCCTTGCCGCTGGGACACTGCACACACCTCAGTTGTTGCAATTGTCCGGTATTGGCGACCCTTCTCACCTTGCTTCTATCAATGTATCAACTGTTGTGGACCTCCCCGCGGTTGGACATAACCTCCACGACCACGTGTCCCTTTTCGTGCTCAACCAATGTAAGCAAAGCATTTCTTTCCTTGACAGATCTAATGCTGATGAGTATAAAGTAAACACGACGATTCCTACTGCCGGTGCTCTGCAATCAAACGCTACGTTCGCTGCTGAAGCTCGGAAGCAGTACGACGACTCAAGATCTGGTCCTTTGACTAGCCCAACTGGAGACTTTCTTCTCTTCCTTCCTCTCTCAACTTACTCCAACGCCACAAAAGCCATCCTATCCCAAGCTATTGCAGCTGGACCATCTGCCTCACTTCCAAAGGATGTTCCCGCCGAAGTCGCGCGCGGTTACGAAGCACAGTTTGCAGCTCTTAACAAGAAGCTCGAGGCTACAGATGCAGCCTTCCTAGAGATCATCTGGGCAGACGGTCCTGCGGTAGTTGGGCTACAGCATCCGTACTCGCGTGGGCATGTCAAGGCGGCTTCTTCCAGCATCTTCGACGCTCCTATCGCCGATGTGGGCTTCCTGCGAAATGAAGTGGATATCACTCTCCTACGTGAAGGCCTCCGTTTTGCCCGGAAGCTCTACGCTACACCGGCAATCGCGTCGCTCAACCCAACTGAAATTATTCCCGGTCCAAGCGTCTCAGAAGACAAGGATATTGACTCTTGGATCCGCGGCGCTGCATCAACGCTATTCCACCCTGCAGGCACATGCAAAATGGGTCCCAGAGATCAAGGAGGTGTCGTAGATCAGCATCTTCATGTGTACGGCGTGCAAGGCTTGAGAGTCGTAGATGCGAGCGCCATACCCATGTTGCCAGCTGCCCACACTATGACTACCGTTTATTCAATTGCCGAAAAAGCTGCTGGCATAATCAAAGCAGGCTTCTAAACGGGTACATTGGTAGATATACATCGCAACCAGGCCGGAAAGCTTAGCGCGCTCGATTAACTGCATTTCTTTGTAAATATAAACATGTAACAGTCCTCTCAAGGGATGATGTTATGGACTTCCTACAGTAGTGCAGATTTAGAGCTATTGTCCTATTTCCAAGTTCTTCTCCGTTTTATTGAAAGTGTTTGGCCTAATGGTAACATCGATGAATGATGCCCTGCGCCAATACGAACATGTAGACCGCTGAGGGATGCGTGCTCCAGCAAGACATGACAGGTGTGATCTTATGTCCACAAGACATGGCCTGTGAGCCTCCCCATGAGGCTCTTATTATCGCTGTGAGAGTAATTTTGGGAGCTGCTCAACGCTTGTTCGAGTAGCAGGATGGTTGCATATCTTCGAAAAATCTTCCAATGACTCCGTGAGTGTGTCAGGGTTGGGCTTTGAAGATGTTCAATACCTTGTTCGTGGGATTTAGTGACCTGAGTCAGCGCTATCATATGTGTGCTATCAGACACAGTATGATCACTGGATTTCCTTGCCCGTCTAGACTTCTTGCGTGGACTTCACGAGGGGTATCATATGAATACTCAACGCGTCACACCTGAATCAAACATGCGCGATGACTTTAGAATTCAGTTTAAGAGAAAATTCACCCGTTGTAAATTTCTTCCTAGAATCTCTCCACCTGGCCGAATATGAAGTTTAGTTATACAGCTAACAAATTTGCACACAATAAATTTGAGGGCAGTGGAGCAAGACATGCGTCCAAGCATACAATCTCTGGAAACTTGTTATTTAGAGGCACCATAATGGAGAGGACTGCGATGGAATCTCTGCGATGAATGCGTTATCGAAGATAGCGAAGCTACAGTCCTCGCGAGGCGTATGCGAGTGCTCCATAACTATGGGCTTGATATATGTCTTATGCACCAATTTGACTACATTTTGATTTGATTATAGACACCCGGGAGAGATGGTTCAGTCAAGGACTTGGCCGTTGTAGTGTCCAGTTGCTATGGGTGATAGCATTGCACATGCAGAGCATCCTCGAGCTTCGAGATTCAAGCGATTGAACTCATGATAGTCCGGCCAGGAATGGATCTTATGCGCTGGAATAGTACTGCGCATGATGCCTGTGAAACGTTGCTGTGAACGGAGTGCGGTTATTTCGATGCATCGACTGAAGAGTCACGAACAAAGACCTACTCAGCTTCAGAGGCTTTGTCTGTACGCTGACAAATTAAAGCGGTTGTGTCATCGTACTTGGTGCGAAAATGCGGATGTCACTGGAGGGTGGGATAAGTCGTATCGGCGCGGGCCGATCTTATTTTCCCCACCCCCATGATTCATCCTTCACCGTGTGAGGCCGATTGGCCCAGAGTTTCTTACCATTCGAATTGTATTGTGTGAGGAGCCAATCGGAGTTGACGTGAGGTTATGAACTTGATTGAAAGCTATTGAAATACAATACGTTATAGGTCGATTTAACAATGTTGGAAATTTCATCTACCGTGCATGGCCACTGCTGCATTGGCAAGAAACGACCATTTTACAAAAGCATCGGCGGATACGCAAAAAGCTTATGAAATTCTGTATTTGGACACTAACGATTTTGGGTCTGATGTTTCATCATTTTTCCACTTTCATGTTCGTGGTTGTCATCTTCCCAACTTCTTACTACCCTTGCCCCTGTGTTTATTAGAGCATTTCGAAACAAGCACTTGTGGAAAGCAAGAAGAAGAATTGGTAGAGAATTCTTAGGATTTCTTAGCCAACCTCAACTATGAGCATGTCAAGAGAGTGGGTAACGCTCATTCTCGGGGGTCAGATTATTCGTAGTATCCCAGCATGTATTAGGCATGGGGCGGTATATCACTGAAGATTTCCCATGAACATCCTATAGTACATACTCTTCTTTATCAACCTCAGTATGGTCATTCCGCATTACATTGCGCTCATGAACTACATGAGAGCAAAGATCTGCTCTATAGTAATAGACAGTTCGTAAGTGCATAAGCAAGTCCCGCATCACACATAATGATATGCAATCACATACTCCCTCCCTATCAAACAGCAAGTGTTCTTCACACCAATACGCAATACCTTAAAAATGTATCCATTAAAGAGTTATTGAGGTGTGACAGCTATTGCAAAGCAATCGGGAACGAAATTGTCCGACTCGCGCCTCGGGTATGCGCAACGTACCGTGCTAATGTACACGTGAAGGCTCCAGCGGGCCCAGACCCGCGTATGGTATTACTGTGTAGTCGAGGACAAGCTCATTGTCAGCTCTTGTCATCGTAAGGTGGCGTATATCGGGCCTTTTAAGACGGACGTCTCTTCCCTGGGCCCTCGGCGATATCTTTTAGATTGTCGGCCGTACTATGTAAGCCAAGTCCGCTGTAATGCAGAGAGTACCGAATTATGACCAGTGCGAGCTCTTCAAATTATTCCTGTTTTTTAGTATCTTGCGCGGAAGCTTGGCTGGGATATGCAAAGAAATCATCTAATGCCTTGTTGATTGGCTGTTCCTACTTGGCTTGAGATGAAATTGACTTGGCAAATGCTACTTCTAAATTTGTAATTATCCCGTCCATCGGCGAGACCTTCGTCAGCTCACCCATCCGACCGTCCCAGCGGTGAGAAGCTGTTTACAGCTAGATGATGGAAGGGTTCACCTCACAAAGTTTCCAAGTGAACAAAAGTATTTAAAGCGAGTGAAATTTACCTCAATCCGTCTCGTCCACTCCTCTCTACATCCCAAACATCCAAAAATTCTTTCACGCGAAATACTTTGCTCAAAATGCGCGCCGTTGTTCTTGCCGCTGCACTTCCAACAGCGCTAGCTTTTTGGAATGGAAACCTCTGCGGTGGCAATGGTGGCTGCATATCTTGGGGAGCTGGCCCATCAAACCACCCTTGGGTTTGCCCGGATGATAGCCGCCTGACCATGCCTCTTTACCTTGGCAACTGGCGAGATGCTGGTGCAGCAGACGTTCCAGCTGCGACCCAGGATGAATTTCCCAAGACTTGCTGGGATGGGAAATATCCTGCTCCTGGTGAGAAGCTGATGGTATGTGAAGTCCTGTCTTGGTTTTGTTAAATAACCATCATTCTATGTAATGTTAACGCTAATTGTTAATAGAAAACTACCACAAGTGGTGGTCAAACACTGTATACATGGATATCCTCGAACTGCAAAGATGGGAAGCCAGCAGCGCCAGGCGACTGTTATCACCACAACCCCAATCCGTCAGTGTAAGTTTTCATAAAGAGCCTCAACGTCCTCACGCATACTAACGGTTTCGCAGTGTCAATTTTTGCGCAATGTATGACTCGAAGGGAGGACAGTGTAAGACGAACCCGAATGCAGGAGAGTGTGAACGTTGGGGCGCTACGACTGTGCGACCACAGTGCAATTACTGGAAGCCAGGCCTTCAGGATCTCCCTGATTCGTATTACCAGGGCAAACCTGATAACTTTTAAAGATCACATTCGCGTGGTCAACTATATATACTAATCTGATGATATACCTTCCCGAGGTGTTTACGATGTTTGTGATGCCGTTGCTGGTGTTGAGTGCGAGTGTGTGAATGGAGCTTCCGCTTTGGGACACCAAGCCATCAACCTCATGTGATTCAGCGATCAGTCAAACCACACAAATTTTCAATATTTACATGGAACTTTTGATGTTCAGTCAACACTAGGGCATTACGAATTGTTGTACTCGCCTATACGTTCGGACATCCGCTTGCCAAACAAAGACCCATGGTCCACGGGCTTGGCGCACTTTCCTTTCGCTATTTTAATGCCCGTCCTCACTCTAGACATACTTTTCTTCTTCGGATAGTCCTGAATACGCTATACCAGCTAAAGCTATGCCACTTTCTTCGAAAAGATGGCAGCCTTTTACGTACCCATGCTCGGAAGCAGGTTCTGTCTACTTCTCGCTATGATGGCTGTATGTCTAATGCGAATTATAGCTCCTGCTTCTCTAGTTATGCGTGCACAACGTTTGGGCAGTGATGACATGCACGTATGAGCAAGATCTGAGCCCGTAGCCTCGCTATCCTATATTCAAACTTCGCCCCAGTGCCATGCATCGGTTTGAACTCGCAGTCAAATGAAGAACAAGCGGAACTCTTCTTATCGCACTCGAACAATAGATGAAGCAAACAGGTGAGTCCATTATCAAGATTCAGCTATGCTAACTATAGAAGTCTGCGCACGAGCAGCATCACATGTTTCCACCACCAAAGAGAAATGTCAGCTTTTTACGTGGACAGTTTTAACCACGTGATTTACAGTCATCTCTTGGAAAGGAGAAGCCTGCGTACCACCAGCTATTTTGATCTAGGAACAGCATTGGGGAGAAAGCCTTCATGGGATCACACCCTAGAGGGACCTCGACCTGTAGACCGTGTTCCATGACAGATGGCTCTATACAGGCATCAGCACACAAAGGAAAGAGGGAGACTTACCTGTAATGACGAGGAAGAAGAAAGGTTGTGGAAGAGGGGGAGAGGAGGGCACTAAATATCATAGTGATGGGCCGGGGCTTGCGATCACGACAACGATACGTGCCTTCGTGCTCTCAACCCAGGGAAGCCACTGCAGTGTGTCCCTTGGATGTTATCAACCGCTTGGGGAGGAGCCTCCTCCCAACTGTCCATGCAACCGGACACTCTTGTTCATTTGTCGCGGGGCAAACGCCACCTACTTTCCCCTTTCTCAACACTTACCAGCATGTGATTAAGTTGAAGGGAAGGATCATCCAAGATACAGCGCAAGATATTACAGTCCAACCCTTCGACTACCTAATGAAGTCACAGAAACTTGAAGTCACCCCTTCCCCACCCCCATTCCGATAGGTAGCCATCATCACGGCCTTGTTAAGTCGCATCCCTCTTACTATCATACAATAGGCTAGTACCCCTGATCGTGTCGACGGCCCGCACGTACTGATCGCTCCTCCCTACATGATAGAACTATGACGCATAAGATGCGCCATTTGATGAGGTATAGCATTGGGTAGCCATATGATAGCATATAGGAGTGAGGTGTAGTCTCAAATCGGTGCTCGCTTATCTATAAACATGTACAGTACACAATTCTCCTCGTATACCAACGACAGCTAGTAAATCACAGCGCGGCTTAAATGGCTAGGCACTGGATAAGAATGATTATCTACATATAATTCCTTAAGCAAATCTTCAGGCGGTAGAGAGCACCGGAGTCTAAATCCAACTCTACAGTTAGACTTTTGAATAATATTTTCGATGCCTAGGCCTTGAGAAAGATTAAGTTCACGGTTACAACCTACGCTCAAGATTTTATTACTAAGTTAACCATCTTCGATGTTCGCCAGTAGAAAGATTGACAGTAAGCAGATATCTATATAAATAATCATAGCTAGATGCTAGAAATGATAAAGGTATTACAATCGTGAGCATAGTGGTTCTCGAAATCTTGATTTCCAGATGTTATCCACAAGTCTAGTGCCCTTGATAGGCGGCAAACTCTTAATCTTAAATTCTAAGGGTATTTAGATAGCCCCACGGAGGGCCTCGCCGCGTCCTTATACGCGATAACTTAGGAATTCCAGCAGAGTGGCCCATCTGTAATAGCGTATATGTGTTTAAAATTAGCAGATAATAAAGCTAGGCGGAAAGTCCTCAAAAGTGACAATGCGCTGGTCGAATATATTTATTGGATTTCTTTAATCCTAATTCACGAAGTGAGGCTCTAGCTCCGCCGATTTGCCCTTGCAAGCTTCTGCATAGAACAGCGATGCAGCGTTGCTATGGTGGTTGGGCGACCGAATCACTGTGCTAGTCGGATAGGAAGCCGATCGAGTGGTAGTAAGTATCTATTTCTTCTTGCATCAGCACCACTCATCGACTGGTTTTGATATGCGCGGTACAATACTCGTACGCTAGACAAAATGTACAATGGTAAGCGGAAGAGAATGCATAATAGTAGATTAGATTACAAAAGTTCAAATAAGGAGTAGGTGTAACAAGCGCAACCCTCATTTGAGAGATCTCTCCGGTGCAACTTCAATCGAACCATAGACGCTAGGTGCTACACTAACCATTCGGCTATTGTAACACGCATACACAGTAGCGCTTGCTTGGACTACTCTTAGTGATTGATTAATTCGATAGGTAAATAAACAATGACGTACATAAACGTTGAATTTTTCCATAGGCGCAATCCTTGTATACTCGGTATTACTTTTGGCATATCTCACTAAACATACCTTCTTACAGTGAGCACTTGTTTGAGTTGGGGTTAGATAGGCGGATACTTGCCAAATCAAGCGCTTTTTTAGTCATCTTATTTCGGCAAATTATACAAATACGAATCTGCGGTAATAGCGCAAATACGGATCCATTTGGAGAGAAAGACTAAACAGCGCATAGACTACTTTGTGGACCAAGTGCTAAAGAAGCTGATCCGTAGTCGGACCGTGGATGCTGTGGTGTATATATATATGAGGAGATGTTGGGTGCAATCAATATCATAACATTCCAAGCATAGAGAACCTACGCGCTTAATCCTGATCTTTCAATATGCGCTCTTTTATCACACTCTCACTCCTGACCTCAGGAGCTGTTGCAGTCTGGAATGCAAAGGCTTGCAACGGTGTGGGAGGCTGCATCTCAGGCACAACACTGACACCCGACCCCTTCAGATGCCCTGATGGTACAGGCTTGAATCTTCAACAAACTGCACATGCAGACATCGGCACTTGGGCCGGTGGATATGACATCATCTCCAAGGCTGAGTTTCCAGACCATTGCCTTCACGGCGCTAAGCCTGGTGCTAATGACTTGCTTGTTGTATGTTCTTTCCACAACAGTTCAAATCTACATCTAGCTCGGAGAATCTATCGCTGATTATTATGCAGGTTAGAACCCTAGACCTTGGTCGAAAGATGTACTCTTTCATAAGCGAGACTTGCGGGGACAAGAACCCTCCAGTCAACTGCTACAGTGCACTACCCAACCCTGGCTCGTAAGTAAGAGTCGCTCCTGTCAAACGACTCCATACTAACGTCTGAATAAAGATCGACAATTTGCTTGATAGTTGATAGCAACGGTGAGGAGTGCGTTGCAAACCCCAATGCGGGTCAATGTGAGAGAGGATCGACTATGCTTAATATTCCCAATCCTTGTCAAGGCTGGCAAATCGGCATGCCTGATCAGCCAGAGCAATCATTTTAGTTGGAACTCAAACCAGCTTTGGCGCTTGGGATAGCAGGTTGGCGTATCTCACTCAAGATCTTGAATAAAGTGATATTTTCATTAGGATGTTACTTTTCCTATATGACTCTGTTAATCTTGGTAGCCTCGACAAAAGATAGACTTCTATGATAGCTTCCCCTAATATGCTTTCATAATTCAATGGCCACTTCCTAGCACGATATATGACGGGCTGAACGCCCTTTGGATAGTTCCTCGATGGAATCTTAGATCATTCATGAAACCCGGATATTGTCTGGAGCGCCTGGACTCTGTAAATCACCCGATCGGCGCTGAGACAACGCGCTCACACACTCTGGTCTAACACTTATACATTTGAAATAACACTAGACTCGTAGAGCAGGACGCTCTTAATTGGCATGATCTCCTGTAAGTCCGTGTTTCAAAACATAGTATCTTTCACTGCCACACGTTTATCAAATTAAAAGGATAACAGCAAACATTTATAGTAAGATTCAGTTGGTCATAGTTGTTAAGAATAGTACACCAAGGAATTACTTAGAATGAACGTGATTGCCATCTCTTATAGGAAAAGACATGTTCAAGGCACTTGTGCAACTCCAAGTCCTATTTGTCAAGTTGAAATTCTTATTTCATAGCATACAATGGATACGGACTTACTATACCGATTCGCAATAGCAGCCCTGATAACCCCAGCCAACTGATCAAAGCCTCCGTCTTCACGTACAAATGCAACCATGACACGGTCTTTAGTACGCCTTCACTCCAGCCAGTTTTAAGATCTGGTCCGTAATAACCGGTTTCTCCAAAGGTTCACTCCTGTCCTTCGGACATAACTTGCCGTTGCGTAGCGGTGGGCCAGCCTTGTGAATGTTGCAATGGGGCCAGTGCGTGGTGCCCTGGAAATTTTGGAACAGCTCAGCTTTTAGCTTCACGTCTTCTTCCTTTGCGAACTTTCGTGGCGTCATGCAGATGTATTGCACGTGTCGAATAAGATCGCCCTGTGGATGTGCGGCATAGTGCATCGTACGGCTGTCCCAAAGAACCTGAATATCGAATGAGTCACAGCCAGTTCGAGATGGATATCTTCATGTACTTACCAAGTCGCCGGGGTCCAGATTTATCTTTTGCAATGTGCAGCCCCTGCTCTCGAACCACTTCACGTCTTCTTCCTTGAAGATAAAAAGGTCTCTCATCTCTTCCTCTGGCGGTGGCTTGTCTTCATGTTCGTCTTGTTCTCGCTTTTCGGCAAAGAATTCATCAAATAGTTTTGAACTACCCTTCATCAAGATCAAACCACCATCCTTCGGTCCATTGGGCTGAAAGTTCAGCAAACCCTGTACGCATTGCATTCCCTTGCGGTTCTCGTTTTGATCGCAATGTGGCCATGGGCTCCAAGTCAGGTCTTTTTGTCGTGGTAGGGTAATGTTCATGCCATCAAATGAGCACAAAAGCTCGTCAGTGCCCCATAGCTTCGTGAATACATCCACAACCTTGGGCTCTGTTCGAGCTTCCCAGACAAACTTCTCGTGGGTGCTGGAGTAAGCGAAGTACATGCCGCCTTTGAAACTAACGGGGAGATGGTCGGCAGTCCAGGTGGATTCGTCATTGGGATCAAAACCAAGACCAAACGATTGCAACCATTCGATTTGCTTTTGTTTGTAGTATTCGGCTCGTTCTGGTGTAACGACACCCTTCACCACTGCACAACCGTCGCGGTGAAAGTCATCGCGCCAATCTCCATACGTCTTTCCATCGTGCTGGATGAGGTCGACACCCGTGTCGGCCTTGGGCTCTTCAGCGTGAGGGGCCATGATAGATTATTTGACTTGCAGAAATGTTGAGTGAGTGTTTCTGATGTTGCTGAACACAACGAAGTTTGGTGTATTAACTTTTACAACACTGTCTTGAAAGCTTTAAATGTCTGTTGTGAGACATCACTCAATCATTACTTATGTGGGGTTCCGGAAGTCTCGACCTGTGACGCGCCCACAATTCCGAGTCGGCAAATGTGGGCAGCTGTACGGGAGACAACGCCAAACTTGGCAGGGCACGGCCCAGCACGGCCGTGTGAGTGAGGGGAAGTGCATTAACCGTTTCCGGAAATTCGTCGGGAGCACCAACACTCACACAATTTCTGTAAACATCTCTGCAGTCCATAAAGCATCTGCATGCCGCCTCCTTTAACATTCTGATTTATCTTTGGAGGTAATACTGGTTTATATAATTCACTCTTCTTCAGTACTTATCAACTCCTCCAGGGCCTTGCATCATGCCTGCTCAATTACCCCAAGTTGCGTATAAGCGCATATCTCAACCTGAAGTCGGTGTCAACAATTACCAAGGCTTCACACCCGGAAAAGTCGAGATTGTCAAAAAGGGTGCCCGACCCTACGGAGGCCGCGCCTTGGAGAGCGATATTCGGATAGATCACGATGTTGAGATCAAAGTTCGCGACGGTGTACGGTTGTATGCAGACATCTATCGACCTGCAGACGCAAAGGATGACGAGAAGCTGCCCGCAGTCGTTAGTTGGTCCTGTTACGGAAAAAAATATTCAGCTCTTCACATGCTGCCTATGACTGTGTGGCAATGCTGTGTGCCCAAGGAGGCTCTGAGCGGCTTAGAAAAGTTCGAAGGCCTTGATCCAGTAACGTGGTGCCCTCGTGGTTATGCAATCGTTTCAGTCGACTCCCGCGGCACGGGGGACTCCGATGGATCCATTCCCCTTATGGGATCCCAGGATGCTGAAGACTGTTATGACGTTATCGAAGCACTTGCAGCCATGCCATGGAGCAATGGAAAAGTCGGAATGGCAGGGAACTCCGCGCTGGCAATTATACAGTGGCACGTCGCTTCACTCCGCCCACCCCATCTAGCTGCCATCGCGCCCTGGGAAGGATCGGGTGATATCTATCGTGAACAGTTTTGCCGTGGTGGTATCTTCTCAATGTCCAACTTTGATCTCATCACAAAGTTCATCATCAAGACAAACAACCCGAACGGCGGCATTGAGGATATGGCCGAGATGTACCGAAGATCATCAGTCTCTAACGCCTACTGGGAAGACAAGCGACCAGATATGACCCAGATCCAGTGTCCTGTATACATCAGCGGAAGCGATTTCAGCAGTATCCATACCATGGGTTCTGTGAGGGGGTGGCTCGAAATCCCTCATGATAAGAAGTGGATCCGATGGAGCTCATATCAAGAGTGGTATGAGTTGTATTGTGTTAAACATTCGCACGACGAACTGCAAAAATATTTCGACTTCTATCTCAAGGGCGTTGCTAATGATTGGGAGACATCAGTACCGAAGGTCCGATGGTCCGCATTGCAGTTTGGAGACCAAGACGCAATTGACAACATCGAATATGCCGACTTCCCCATACCAAATACGCAATATCGCCATTTCCATCTTTCGAAATCGGGACTCAACGAAACACCAGTCTCTTCACCAGAGATAGTGTCCTATAACTCCGAGGACGCAAAGTCAATTGCAGAGTTTAACTATACTTTTACAGAAAAGTCACGACTTATTGGGTTGCCGAAAGCAGTCCTCTACATGTCTTGCCCCTCACATGACGATATGAACGTTTTCGTCATACTACGTAAGCGCGACAAGGATGGTCAACTTATGATGCATCTCTGCTTTCCATTTTCTGCAGTTCCGGAGGGCATCAAGAGCATTGCGGATATTCCCGAAAAGGATCGCCAGAGCACGAACTTGCACATCGGAAGTGTAGGCACTTTACGTGCAAGCCATCGGCGATTTATCCCAGAAAAGTCTATCCACGAGAATTTTCCATTCCACCCACACGATATCGAAGAAAAGGTGAACCCGGGTGACATTGTGAAACTCGAAATTGGCATTTGGTCTATGGGTGTAGACTTTGAGAAGGGTCAATCGATCAGTGTCCAGGTGAGCCTCTTCTGGAAAACTCGATTTGATATTGCATGATTACTGACGAATGCTTCAGATTTCAGGAACGTTTCCAGCTATTGCAGAATATACCGCATTCTCAACGGAGCGCCCAGAGCATGAGAGAAACAAAGGCGAGCACAGGATTCATATTGGCCCTGATACACCCAGTCACCTTATTCTCCCGTTTGTCTCGATATAATGATAGATGATTAGAATTGAAAGGACCTTTTAGCATGCTGGTAGTGAGCCCGTTTTCCCAATTTGCGATGTGCCACTTTATGAGTTTGACCCTATGATCTGTTGACTTTGGACGACGAGGACTAACTTCTTTGGGTGATAAACCTGTGGTTGCGCAGTTGTGGAGACAAGTCCCCTTTGCTATCGCGGCCAACACTCAAAAGTCTTGCTCGAAGATGACGATAATTAGTCATCTATAGAGTATGTTGCGCTTGTCTTTGTTGAATGGTTCTTAAGTTTTGGAAATTCGATGTTTTTCTAGCCAATGATATCAGATCTGGGGAATGCTTCACCTCATACCAAATCCGCCGATGAAGCGATTCCTATCAGACATTAGGCTTTCACTTTTGTAATAGATTTTCGGAAATCTGTGGTTGTAAGCCATTGCCCACTCTCCGAACGCTAGTTCGGTTATGGTACCCATTGCTAGGCCCAACTGGCATGTGGGTCCTACCCCGCATATTTACCCCGTGGAGACAAATGCCCCGATATGCCATGCCATGCGTGGCTATGGTCAAGGGATACGGGGTGTGGAGTTTGCTCTTGTTCCAAGCCTCCAAGCACAAGGCTTCCGAGATTTCTCGGTTGGAGTGGGAGCAACTCAAGATGAAAGCGCGCATTGATAAAGAAATGAATGTCCGGTCGTGGTAATGCTTCAGGCCATCAGCGATCCCCTTGAGCTCTCCCAGGATTGAGGTGAGCGGGCCATTCTTTCTATTATCAAACATCTAATTCCCACCGGACACCTTGTTCTCCTCCAATTCAACTCCTTCTGGAGATGGCCGACACAACGAAAGATGCGAAACCCTCAGAGGTGAATGTAGAGAGATTTGAATGTCTCTCGACTGACGAGGAGAGCAAAGATGGACTTTACCAGAGCCAGACAATGGGCACGGTAGCCATCACTGATGACAAGGACATCTATCTCATACCTGCACCAAGTGCGGACCCAAGAGGTGACTTATTCCAGTCCCTGTCCTTTTTATATATCATTGATTATCCTTCTAGATCCGCTTAACTTACCTAGATGGAGGAAAATTGTTTTCATCACCCTTGTATCAATATGTGAGGCTGCACCATGAGATACTCATCTTCAATAGCTAACCAAAATGATAGTCTCTAGTATTGGCCTTTCGATGGTATCTGGGTTCGGTGGCCTGTTAGGATTTTACATCCCAGATTACTCTAAGCATGGTGCTGACTACGCTGATATTACTGCTCTCATGACGTACCCATCAATGTTCATGGGTGTCGGCTGTCTTACATGCACGCCGCTGGCTTTGTCAGTCGGCAGACGGCCTGTCTATCTCGCATCACTGGTGGTGCTAATATTGGGCGCCCTGTTGGCGGCGCAAGCAACCAACTACAATTTTCATTTGGGTGCAAGAATGGTTCTTGGTCTTGCTGCTGGTCAAAGCGAAGCTCTAGTACCCTTGATGATTCAGGTAAGAAGCATGCAGTTGATGCAAAAGTTGCCTACTTATCTCACATCTTAGGAAATCCATTTTATCCATGAACGCAGTACTTTCCTCATGTGGCAATCCTCGATACAAACTGTCCTCTCAGCTGGCCTTACTATTGCCGCATCACCTCTAGCTGGGGCAATTGGTCCTGCAAACTGGTATAGGTTAGGCGCGGGACTTGCAGGCGCGACTCTACTCTTTTCGATTTTCCTTGTTCCAGAAAGCCGATATCCTCGGACCCTCCAAGCATACGGCCAATCCACTGGCGAGAACGACGACGAAGCAGGAGAGATGACGACACGACCGATGCGGCTGTCAGAAAAACCTGCTTTCGATCTTACAAAGTATCAGCCGCGAACGCTCAAATCGGATATGCGTTTATTTGTTGGGAAGTTTGACTGGGCTGAAGGCTATTACAGCTTTGTTGTAAGTCATACCAAGGATTCGCATTCGTTTCATAGCCAACTTAACTTCGATCAGCACACCTTCCAAATTCTCCTTTTCCCTAATGTTTTATGGGCGTTCTGCCTCAACGGATTAACTATGTTAGTACACTACCATATGAGATACTCGTGTGAAAACTGACAACTGACGACCTGCAGTGGTATAAACATCGCCATTGGTACAACTTACGGCAAGATTGTTACCAGTGCTCCCTACAACTGGGGTGATGATGCAGCATCATATGTAAATGCTGGACAAGTTGTAGTCGCATTTGTTACGCTTCCTCTTCTTGGTTATGGGTCCGATAAGATTATCAAATGGCGAGCTGCGCGCAATGGCGGTCTCCATGAGCCTGAGAACCGTCTCCTCGCACTCTGGATCCCAATCATGTTTGGCGTCCTCTCTGCTACACTCTACGGCCAAGCTGGCGAACATCCAGAGAAATACCACTGGTTCGTCATCGTCTTCGCCAATTCGGGATACTACTTTTGCTTTCTTGGTGCCAACATCGCTGCTATCACATACCTACTCGACTCCTATCCTGCCCGGGCCGGGCCTGTTCTTGTCGTCATCACAGCTTTCCGTGGGTTTGTTTCCTTTGGTACAAGCTATGGTGTGGCCAAATTTATTGACACTGCTGGATATGACGGATCTTTTGGCACATATGCTGGGTTAACGGCGCTCTTTGGGTGCCTAGGTATTCCTATCTTCATATTCGGAAAGCAGATCAGGGCTTATACGGGTCGATGGGCAAAGACGAAACGGGCTGGAATTCCTTCCATGTCTCGTTGAGTTATGAACAGCCTCTTGGGGCAAGAAATGGAGTTCTGAAGAGGATCAAATATGTCGTTCTAAATCTCGGAAGGCTCCCATGACGATGAAGGGACGTTCGCTGAGCACATACGTATGAGTTTCTTCTATATTCGCAAGACATGGCGTTTCATAATATCGATATATGTGCAAGAGTATTACTCATTAGTGTTAATCACAAGTTTATTACGTCAATCTATATCTATATTTGCGCTTGAAACGCCATATTTTCACAATGACAACTGTGATCAATGATGTTGATGGATGCGCCGTAATCTCGTTCGATAGATCAGAATACTTAAAAAACCGAAACGATGATGTAACGCTCCGAATGCCAAAGAACTTGGTACAATATCTGGTGATGGAAAGATGTACCGAGTCCTTTCTGCAGCCTTGTCTATGCAGTGATATAGCATGAGAGGTAGCTGAAGCGTGTATGTATCTTCAGAAGGCATGATAACTATGCCATCACAGTTGTGGGCAGCATATTTCTGGAAAGTAAAATCACTCACTGAACGGCTGTTCCTTTGCTTTTTGTAAAGATTGAATCATAGTTTGAACATAGCTGATGAATTTGTATAACATTTGCAAAATCTAAGCCTTGATGTACGGAATACCAGTTAACTTGAATGTACGCTCATCAAGGGCTGGTTTGTTGACAGGCTCAAAACGGTTGTATGGGTCATCCTTCCCATCGCGCTTTGCCGAGTTTGAACCAGCGTGTCTTGCATTGGGCCAATGAGTAGTGCCGACATGCCGCTCGAAAGCATCCTTCTTGCGTACAAGATCTTCTTGAGTGGCGTGGCTGACAGGCATGTAGCAAGTATATACAGCAAACCTTGGCTGATTCGTTTTTGATCCGAGGTTGTAGTGAGGAGTACATGAGTCCCTTATTCGTAGTTAGCACACAGATCAAGGAAAGAAGACCGCGATAAAGAGAAGACTCACCAGAGTAAAAAATCGCCTGGCTCAGCGCACACCTTGACCCGTTTCAGACCCTTTTTCTCGAGCCATTTCAAGCTGTTCTCTGTAAATCCATACCATTCAGGGGTCCATGCTGGAATACGTGGCTCATCAGCCATGTCTTTATGGAACTCATCAGATAAGAGATGTCCACCTGGACATACTATAAGGCCGCCATCATCTGGACCATTAGGTAACAAATTTACAAGGCCCTGCATGCATCTAAACCCCAGTTTGCTGGATCCTGATCTTGGTGTGGCCATGGTTTATTGGGCTCTATGTCTGTCCGACTATCGCCTGATTAGTTGGTTCGGATGACAGTAGAGAACGGTAGTTCACTTTGGAAAGGTGAAGTTGATGGCGTCGAATGAGACAATGAGGTCCTTGTCATCGTATATCTCTTCGAAAGCCCCTACAACACCTGGCTCTCCTCGGACACCCCAAGCAAAGTCTTCGTGTGTTACCGCATAGCTGAGACACATGCCCTTCTCATTGATAGTGGGCAATCGATCTCTATGGACAGTCGAAAGATCATTTCGATCGAATCCCAGATTGCTATCAACCGTGTCAATGTTTCTACAGAAGTCGATGGAATCATTCTGACTTACAAGCCTTCCAACCATTCGTACATTCTGTTGGCATAAGCATCCGCCCTTTCTTTCGGGATCGCGCCTTTTACGACAGCATAACCGTCACGGGCCAGATCGTCTCTCCAATCATCATAGTTAGTTTTCGACCCATCGATCCTCATGGAGTTCTCGCCAACAGCCTTCAATGTCACCGGAACAGTCTGGGTGGTAGTTTGGATCATACCGGGCAACGTCACTTGGAAATTAAATGGTTGCTTATTCCCAATCGCGAGCAGCGTGAACGAAACTGTTATAACCAATACACATCACCCATCATATGCCTTACTTGCCGAGATACGGCCCATGTAGTTCTCCATGTGGCCCGAAAATCTCCCACATAATCCGAAACACAAGGTCTTGGCACGTTTTAGATAGCCAGTATCTTGCATTGGGCCCTGAAATCGAATCGTTCCTGCCGATCCTCCATTGACAACTTCGTATCAATATTTGGAGGAGTCGAGATGCACTTCCCGGCCGTGGCGATATTCGTGCTTGCACATCCCGTGGCTTTCGGGCAGCTGGACAAGTCGATACTGAACTCAGCACCAGTGGCAACAATTATCGGCAAACTGATCTCGAAATCACTCATGGGTAGATCCGAACCTACCTGTCCTAGAGCTTAATCTCATCCTCCACTGCCTGTGGCAGCGCACAACGCAGCAATTTTCGTATCGGGTTTCTGAATCAAATTGAGTCGTGCAAATATGCTTATGAACCAAAGGATGATTGTCCGACGTGATCCCACCAACTAGTTACCAAGATACGTGATGGGGAAATCTTATCAAATCTTGTCACAGGATTGGGCACTTGTAATTCATGACTCGTGTTCAATGCTGGTGATACGGCTGCGATGTTCCAGGCGTGCGGGGTCCGCGCAGAAGGCGGGCTATTGTACAACCGAGGAGGATAGAAAAAGCCCAGGGGTGCCCACATGTTCCGACAGCGTTGGCGCAGGGTCGACATACCCCAGATTCTTTCCACATATCCCGCTACCACTCGTTTCACTGCCAAATGTCAGCAGAAACCGATGCTACGAATATCAGACCATCAAAGCGGGCTCGAGCCTCCTCTGATGCGGACAACGTGTCGTCGCTACAATGTCAGGTGTGCCACCGCACCTATGACCGGCTTGACCACCTGAACCGGCATTTGGACTCCCGTAAAAATTGGTCCCCCCACCCTTCGGACATAACGCTTACGAGCTTTAGATAGGAACGAAAGATCCTTTCGTTGCAGAGAGTGCCCTGCAGCATTTAATCGGAGGTGAGTACTATCTTGGCGTTTCTGGCGCTGGCGTACTGATTCTGGCTCCCGGCACGTGCTTGGCAAATCGCGAGAGGCTTCCACGAAACACTAAAATCCACTACTGACAGCGTTGTGATTACAGAGACTTACTTCTTCGACATCAATCTGCTCATGCGAAGAATGCCGCAGAAGGGCAACCAAGCCTAAATCGTCCCGTTGAGAGAGCGACCAAGGCATGCAACTTCTGTGTTATCTCCAAGGTGAAATGCGACAATTACCGGCCATGTCAGAGATGTCTCAAGAAAAATATACCATGTACCACGCAGATCCCGGATAAGCAAAATGTCCCTGTTTCTGATTCTAGCGCACCCGTCGAGCAAACATCAGAGCGTTTGTTGAGTCAGGAAGAATTACGATCTGATCTGATGTATCCTGTCGATGCATTCATAGAGGCTGCTACCGTAAACCGAGGCATCTCAGAAATCTACCATGAAGCAGCCCATCCACCACAAGCTCTGTCGAATTTCTTCGAGCAGATCATGGTTACTCAGTCAGACTTTCTCGCGACTGACTACTTGCACCCGTCTGCTGGTCTTACCGCATGGCTACCTGAAACTGACTGGTTAGGAGAAGTGGATCTCTTCGGGGCTGATTTCATGCCGGCAATAGATGAGACGTTCAATTTGCCGTCATTAAATACCGGTCGCGTTGGCACGACAACTACACCAGGTGGCACTGTTGTCAATGATGCTCGAGCGACCAACAGCGGCGACGCAGTGCGGCGACGACATGCTGTTTTCAAGCAGTCACCATGGTTTTGGATCCCAGAGAGCAACCAAAACGCTTTCAGTGAACAAGAGGGTATCACACTCGACGAACGGCAAGTGGATCTTGCTCTCTCTCCCCATCAACCTCATGCATCTAATGTCATTATTCCTGGTCGTTTGTCACAACAAAGTCGTGATCAAATACTCCAACTCGTTCTCAAGACTGCTCCTAGTCAAGTAACAATGTCGTCTTTCCCATCGGCAGACTGTCTTGATAAGCTTATCAAAGTTGGTATAGCCAAACGGACTGAAGGAGACGCTTGGATACATCCCTACACGTTCAACTCCGATACTGCTAGACCGGAATTCCTGACAGCGCTGGTCGTAGCAGGTTGTATATGCTTCGGAATACCGTCAGTAAACAAGACTGGGCTCGTCCTTCAAGAGATTGTCCGGGTTTCTCTCAGGGAGCTCGCCGAGCGAGATAACGGAGTCATGCGTGAACTACAGTACCTGCAAGCTTGCATGCTCTGGCTTGATATAGGCGCATTCTGCGGCTTTCGGCGCAAGATGGAATTAGCTGAAAGCTCCTTGCAGGTACTTGTCACGTCGTTACGTCGGGCGGGCAGGTTCGACGATGTTCGATATTCTAATATCGTACCTACGTCAGAAGATGGCGTAGAGGAGTTGAGTAGGAAGTGGCATCAATGGGTTGAGCTCGAATCTTTCAAAAGATTGGTTTATCATCTTTTCGAACACGACATATATATGACGATGGTCAACCACCGACAGCCGTTGCTTTCCTATGCTGAGCTTACACTCCCATTGCCCGCTTCAGAATCATTGTGGCTTGCACCATCTGCCGAAGTTTGGAAGGCGCGTATGATGAATATGCAACTTGCTAGCTCACGTCCCTCTATGCGATCGATTCTCCAGGAACCAGGGTCTGCCTCTTGTCTACACGCTGGTTTCGACACCCGCATTGCGCACTCAGCATATATCCATGGGCTAGCATCGCAAGTGTGGGAGCACTGCCAACAATCTGTACTTCTCCATGATATGAGTGACGCTTCTTCTCAATTATGGTCCCGATCTCGCCAACAAAAGCTACATGAATGTATACGAGACACGAACATTGTTCTTGATAGCTCAACCGCCTTGATATGTGTCTTCCAGCAATTCTTGCAGATGTACTTATTTGCAGACTTGGACACTATCACTCGGTTCGCCGGGAGATGTGGTGAGGAGGCCGCACATCGTGCATATATCGCATTGCAACCATGGTGTAAATCTCGAGAAGCTCGCACAGCGATCGGTACGTAACAATAGCTCTTACGAGCAGATCATAGCCTATACTTACTAAGACATTGTAGCACACGCAGGCCAGGTTCTACACGCTGCGCGAGCGATTCTTCCATATCAAAATCGAGGCCAAGATTCATTCATCATATACCACTCGATTATGGTCCTGTGGACGTACAGCATGATAACAAGCGATTGCGCCCGCAAGACAAGATGCAATACTCCTACCCAAGTGGAACTAGCAGCGATACCCGATGGGCAAACGCTTGTGTTTCTAGATGATGCACGCTGTTCTAACCAGTCTGCGGTAAATGCCTTCATCATGATGAACACTGGGATTCCTTGTCTCCGGATATCATTTGGTGATACTGGTGCACAATCCGAAGTTGAAGGCAATGCCAAGTCAGACACATGCGATCTCAGATATCCGTGGCAGGTGATGAAAGCAGGTGTGGCGCTTCTTGATGCAACGCATCCTGGTGTGGATAGAGAAACTGGGCCGCCACTGATTCGAGCTCTTTGTGGATTGATGGAAGACCTGGGTGGATTGCAATCATCATAGCTATCCACTATTCCTTCTCAGACGCTACGCGGCCGCCATTTACATAGTCTAGTCAGCTAGCCACCGTGCAGTGTCTCACTGATGGGATAGGCCGAATGTCAGATTTTCATCAGCGGAATAAAGTATAAGATGTACATCATACGAGCGGGAGAGAGATCAAGGTTTTACCCTTGTAGAATGCTCACTAACGCTTCCGAAGCTGTCCAGCAACGTAAGTGAGTTTCCTACTGAGATTGGCTATATGTCCCAAACGGTGCTGGATTGCAAACCGAGCTCCTACATGTGTCCTATGAGAACTCTATTTTGTGCAGACAGGCAGCGCCCGCTCGTACAAGACGCTGCTGTGTGAGCATTGTTAGCGTAGCATCCTGGACCCTGCGGATCGTCAGGTCAGGAACTGCCATGTTTTCGAAATCATGATCGCTGCTCGAGAAGCTAGAAAATGAGCCCTTATGACATCGCCAATATCCAAGCGCTCCTAGCAAGGGGGTGGTTCCGGTCGGGGTCGACTGTCTAACTAAGACAAGGCACCTCATTGTCAGTAATGGTACCTTTAACACTGAAGAAGCTGCCCCCCTCATCATCAAGCATGTCCAAGAGAGCTACAGCTTAACTGAGATGGTGATGTTGCCTTAGAGCTAAGACAGAACGTTTTAGTAGAATTTTGGTAATAATCAAAAGAATCAAAATAACAATATTAATAACAATAGAAACTTATACATTTCAAACCAGGAGCGGGGAATTAGCATACATAGGTATAGCCTATGGTAACTTACTATTGCACTAAGGGCTTAACCGCAAGTTAACTCCACGTTAGGATTACGCCACCCACGGGAATTTCTTAACAAATTGCTCCAACTTAAAAGATCACCACCATAGTAGTTATATAAGCACTTGCTGATAGTGTAGGGGCGCTAGTCAGGGGTACTTGGCAAAGTTTTCCATACACCCCCTTATATCTCTCTTATCTCAATGTGTTTCTTGATTTGAAATACTACTATCTTGGTATATGCATCAAAAGGGGTAGTTTTGAAGGAGGGCAACTGTTACCCTTGCTAAAGCCTCTCCCCTTGATGTTGCTGTCTCCTATCTCCTCCACCCCTTACAGCCTTGCTCTTAGTTCTGTCTAACCCTTTACCTCGATTTACATGCACGGAACCAGTAAGTATTACAGGTACTATTGAAGAATGAATGAAACGTCAAGAGAAGTTCTCAGTGCTACATAGGGCGTTGTAATAGTGCGTACTCGACATGTGGTGGAGATCTTGTATAGACTCTTCTTCCAGTCTCAAATGCTCATCTTTACTTACGATCAAATGTCCCTAAGCTAAACTTATAAGATCTGCCTATTCGCACACTCTTACGAGTGCGCTTTAGCTGAGACCTAAAACAAGAACCTGTCGTATAAGCGTTATCCAGATTGTCGTTGGGGAATACGTGGATGATGCTGAGTGGTCCGTATCGCTAACCAATCCTTCAGACAGCGTCACTCTAATATAGGAAACGCACGTTCATTACCCCTGCTCGCAATGATCACTGCGTTACCGGTAGCCGTAGATCGATTGCACCTAAGAACATAAATCTAATTCGTTTCTCGCGCTCAATCATATTCTAGAGTTCAGACTGAACTGGCTGACCTTCTCTGCGACAGCATCCTAATCGGTTACGACAACCAAATACACCTTTATTGATTCTATCGAGACGAAAAAGCCACCAGTGAGACTCCAAGCTGCAGCGGTAATCACAATGGTTACCTGTCTAGAGTCAACCTTGATGGAAACTGTCTCTGAACTCCGAAAATCTCTCTTTATATTATCCAAATCCAGTGCGCTATACCTTAATATCGAGGAATCAAATCGCAGTCGCTATAGAACCGTCTCAATCATCACTATCCATGTACATCTACCAAATCAAGCTCAACTCATCGATGTTTCGGCATTGAGTGACCAAGCCTTTAGCACTGCATTGAAGGACGGCACGACTCTTCAATCTATCCTAGAAGACCGCAGCTTTCGCAAATACATCTAGGGCGTACGCAACGATACCAACGCCTTGTGGTTCCACTATGGAGTGAGCCTTATTGGCATTACTGACCTCCAACTGCTCGAAAATGCCTCGAGATCAGACGACAAAACATATATTCGCAGTCTCGATAAGTCTGTTCAGAATGATTTAAAACTTGGATTTATGGAGACGAAAAGCTGTCTTAGTACAAAACAAGATATCGGGAAAATCATGTACACCGAAGTTTTTTCCTTACGCCCTTTGCAACACGAGACAATAGAGTACTGTCAAAACGATGTCATACATATGCCAGCTTTACGTGAGATATAAATGGCGCGTATAAAGCCTGAGTGGCTTTACAAGGCGAAAGACGAGATTGAACATCGCATTACTCGAGCACGATCCCCTGAATACGACCCGTAGTCTGAGGAGAAGAAGTCAGGACCTTGGGGCTCGGGCGGTAGAAAGCGAATCCTTACGATTGATCGAATGTGCGAGATGATGGAAGGGGAGCGGGAACAGGCTACCGTAAGAGATCTATTTGGGTATGACAATGGTATAGAACTCTTCGATGATGATGATGATGATGACGATGATGTATCGGACCAAGAAGGCTCATTCCATTAGTCAGTTCATTTTGAAATTCTTAAACTGACTACATCGACTCATATTGAATTGAGATATAGTGTTGCGGAGGCTTTTTCTAGGCTATCTGTAAGGCCAATAACATAGTTTCTAGGTATAAGCGGCTAGTGCTATAAAACCTCGGTGTTGCAGCTTAATCGCGCAGCACTCTACGAATCCTAGTTCTACACCAACGCTACCGTCTATAGACGCGCTTACTTATGGGTCATACCAGTTTCTCTCGGTGTTAATATAACCTAGTAATCGAATCAAAGCCTCCACTAATTTGTTGATGGTGATAAACACGAGGATCTACTTGCGAACGTGTTAGTCACAGTGTCTACTGATAACAACGCTGAGCTTGATCGCGATAACTAATTGATTGACGCGCGAATTAGCGAGGCTGTAGATGAGTCTGTAGATGAGGCTGGTGATACTTTTTTTTAACGGCTTAGACTAGTCACGGGACTCATACCTCGAGAGGTTATAGAAAGGGCACGCTAGAGGTGCCCTAAGTCGGATATACAATTATAGCTGGCTAGTATGTAATTATATTAAAAATCGTAACTACTGGCTCTGTTTCCATTGCCACATACGAAAGAAGCTTGGGGGCGAGTACGACGCTGGGTTAACGTCAGCAGAAGCTACTCACCTAACGGAATGTGTGCCTGGCCACAGCGTTGGTGCACAAGGACCTCTCCGACGAAGCCGCGATCCTGACTAGGCATCAATCGTCACCCTCATGCGCGATAGCGGTGTTGAGTTGTCGTAGGAGGTTGCGAATGAGACATCATCTTCATTTACAAAGCGCAAGTTTCAAGACGCGCTAATGGACTAGATAGATGCCAATAACTGAAGCCTCCGCGTTACATATTGAAACGCCTACTCTTTCTCAGTTGATTCGAGCTGCCAATCTGTCGGCAGAGGCGGTACTTTGTCGTAACCACCAGTCTCCTCGCGATTCGATTATTGCTGAGTATCACTCGCACATATTTGCTGTTCGAAACTACCTAAGCGGCGTGCGATCCTTTATTCATATCTCCTTCGATAACTGAATGTCGACTAGCGGCAAGTATAGACCCACTGGCATCTGCGTACACCTGATGGGCGCAGTGGAAGATGTGCAGGACCTTCCTCTAGGCTTGTCAGAACTCCATGGGCAGCATCGTGGTCATAATATTGGCGCAGTTGTTGCAACAACGCTGACGAACTTTGGGGTGAACAAGGCATCAATGGACTGTTTCGTGCATGACAACGCATAAAACAATAATAATGCTGTCAATCATGTGACTAGTATAGACAACTTTGACGATTCTAAGCAGCGTCTACGCTGCTGCTGCTATATAATCAACCTTGGAGCTCAACTTATCATGTGGGGCAAAACACCGTGACACATACAAGAACGCTGGTGGTAGCCTTAGAGTTGAGGAGGCTTTTATGAAAAGGTAACATCGATATGGGCTTATCGATGCATTATTTGATATCATCGCGTCCATCTATACGCCCCAGTCACGCGAGCTGTTACAGAGACACCAAGAGTCGAAGCTGAATCGCCTGGTAAGTCTGTTGTCCTCTGAGAGCTGATTGGGCCAGTTAAGACGCGCTAAAACTCCTAATTTGCTGCCTTTGTACGCGCTATTGAGCTCCAAGGCCCGTTTGATAACTACATCGAGCATAAGCTTTCTGAGGGCCGCCACAACGAGGCTATTGCTCGCCGTTCAAGGCGAGCTAGAGGTAGTGGTGGCGTGTTCCAGGAACCTAAGCCTTTTTTGCGTGATGGTAGCCTACACTCTGACTACTGGGCAACGATTACAGAATATATAAAGCTTTCAGGGTCGTTTACAGAGTCCCCTAAGCTGTTAAAGGGACCCGGTAAACACGGCCGCCACGGCGTAATGTAGGACGTTCTGATTACCCTTGAATGGCTACTCAACGAGCTCGAAGCGCCCTTCAAGCGCTTGGAGGATATCATTTATAATGATCCGTTAGCGTTAGAAGACTACCTGATGTTTAACGCTGACTTAGCTCACAAGAACTACTGCAGTACTGTTCAAGGTTTGACGATGCGCCTGCCTCCCACGCTGCTACACCGCTCCATCAAGCACCACCTCGAGGCACTATAGAAAGTCCGTGATGATCACAACAAGCAGCGCGACGGCCCTCACTACCGCGATGCGTGACTTATAAACAATCATCGTGCTTTTATAGTGATGTGGAAGTGCTTTCAAGAAGTAACAGTGGCTAGCAGTGCGATAAGTGACAGCGATGAGAAGCGCCCAGCAAAGAGCATGCGTGTTGGTGGTCCAGTAGCGTCGCGGCCGCCTTCTTGAAGTTATAATTACATGCTCCTGTTGAGCAGGTAGAGGAACATCTTGGCGATGAGAACGAACGGTGAAAACGCATGCCATCGATCGCAGAGAACGATCCGATGGCTCATAATCCGCCTGAGCACTGGCGGTTACAGTCCAATGCTTGCTAATTTTGCTATCAACTTGCTTACAATACCAGCCTCAGCTGCTGATTGTGAGCGTAAGATTAGCGAGCTCGGTGACACGCTAGGCACGCGGCAGCTGGAAATAAAGCTTGAGTTGCTTGACACGCTGCAGTGCTTAGAATGCTGGCGGTAATTAGATCTCAAAACACCAACAGGAGGGTATACAATAGCTGAAACCGCCGCTGTACAAGTATTATTTTAGTAAATACGATTATCAACTATGGTAATCAGCAAGCAATCAACAAGTCAGTGCAACACCAAGATAATGCTGTTTGCAGTTCATTCAATCTCAGTTCGCGATTCCAAACAAGTCTTAGCGGTCAACCAGTTCAGTTTGCTACTTATAAAGTGAGGTCTTGAGCCGTATAGATCAACTGACAACTGACAACCAACAGGTTAAGTAGTAGCAACTCTGGGTTCACGCCAGGGTTTATGGGGTAAGGATGTATGATTCTAGGAAGACTAGAGGTTCGGTGTCTCTGGACACTTTCCTACTTTACAGCCTTCGCACAGATCCTTTTCATGCGGTGGTGTTTTCTTGAGAGAAAATGGGCGCGGCTCCATGATCACACCTGCCCATTTCTTGAGTCTGTATGCAATCCGGTCAATGTACGATTTTTCATCCAACCTGAAGCTCCCCAGGCAGTTGCAAGATTCGCAGCGTTGATTGAACACAATAGCGTTGTACCCATTACGTGTATATCCTTGAATCCAGGTTGCCACCACTTTGCTGCTCCACCTTTTCTTCATGCATGCGTTGTTGTTGCATGTAAACTTTCCCATAACACACGTTATGTGCTTGTTATTGAAGTGAGCATCTAGATCATTGTTGAACCATGTCGAGACTATGAAAGGTGCGACGGCTTCGGCCACACTGGTATGTAATTGGGGAAATGTGAAGAAGGTCCTTGTCTCCTCTTGCAGCGTCTTGATGTGCGCTTGATCGACTTTTGGCGCTACGATAGATGTCTGTGAATCCGGTATAGTAAGAGCTTGCATTCGACTTTGAAGTACTGCGAATGGCAGGTCAAAGGTCGAGTTTGTGTGGAAAGTGTTCTTTGCCGCGGCGTGACCACTGCGCTGACCGTTGTGTATCGTTGAGTGGGTATTAGAGGATGTCGAAAACGGCAATGGAGCATAGGGGGGCAATAAAGCAGGCGTGATGGAAGACAATGCTGAGTCTTTTCTGGGTTTTCGGTGAGCTGAAGAATTGTCTTGGTGCTGGCCGAGTGCGTCTAGGCTACCAAAGGAGCGATTGCATGGCTTACAGCCAAAGTTTTCCGCATGTTTTGGTGAGTTCTCTTCATGTTGTTTGAGTGCTTTTATGCTGCCGAAAGTGCGGTTGCACAATACACAAAGGCTCATTGCGGATCCTGTTCAAATCTATGGTGTATTTGCAGCTTGTGATTGAGGCTACGTAGGAGGTGCCGATGATTGCTGAGTCCAGCTTATACAACATGAATCGGAACAAGGCCATTATCCTGTGGAAGTCCTGTGCGACTTTGGAACCAATGGTACAGTAACACATCACGCGCTGTGGCTGCATCTACGAGTTGATTTCTTGGCAGTGCACGCATAAACTGACGCGCAGTGTAACAAGTTCAAACTGCGCCCTACCCATACCAAGGCTGACTCTTCACCGGCACTTATCACGGCGATTACGATCTGGGCACATAATTTCTGATCAGGCTGAAGATTTAGGTGCGGGGTCAAGCGGCTAAGCGGTCTGGTATGCAGAGTGTCGTGTTGGTGCATATGCAGAGATCCTCCATGAACAACTCGTCAATGCGTGGGTGGGATGTCGTTTACGAATGATCGTGCACGAACCCAGCATAAAATGTCGTAAGAACGATCCCGCATTCAAGATAACGATTCTTTGTCGCTGACTTGAGCGCCAGTCTAAGGATCCCCCCACCCGGATTTTCCTAAGACCCTACGAATAGTGCCACTCGAACTGCTTCAATTTCGATGGCTAAAAAGACCAAAGTCGCGAAAGCAGCCAAAGATGTTCATCATCGGTTGAAAACAAGGTGAGACTGGCTTCCTCCATTCACGCAAGCACACCTTTTTAAAGTTGACTACATTAGCCTATATACAAGTCCATCTGTTACCTTACACTTTGGTCCTACCCATCAGATATACTATCTCCCAGAAGTTCTGCTGCAAAGATTGGGGAATATCCCAAGTCGTGATGCCTGGACTCACGAGATTCATCTCGTAGATGTTGACGCAAGCATTGGTCACGTCTTGATCCACTTCCTGCACACGGGTGTCTATCAGACACTCAACGACGAATACATCGAGGGTGCTGGGTACAACCACAAAACTCTTGTTCGAAATGAGTTCCAGACAGCTGTGCTTGCACTAGAAGCTGCTAAGAAGTATAGCGTGCCTGGTCTCCAGGAATTGGCACAAGTTGAGCTGGAGCGACGAGGCAGGGAAATTTGTTTACGTGACGCTGTGCGCGCTATTCGAGAAGAGTCTATTGCCGGGACTTCTGACGAAAATGCGTGGCTTCGAGACTTCGTCTCAAAGAAAGTTCGATGGACCTTCGAACACGATCGCCCCATCTTATCGGCACCAGAATTATTTGAAAACATTGAAAGCCCTACGTTGGTGCGGTTACTGGCTCAAGTCATCATTAGTCTATACAGTGAGGAAGTAGACAAGTTGCGCAAAGGAAAGACCGCAACCGACAAGAAGTCAACGCCTGAGAAGAAAGAAGACGACGACCTATGGAGAATACTCGGCTTTGGCAGGAACGCAAAGAACCAGGAGAAAAAGAATAAGGGAGTACTTGAGGAAGAGCACCTGTCACCTGAGCCAGAGCCAGAGCTAGTCGTGGACGAGCCATCACCTGCCAAAGAGGATGATCCATGGGGTTGTGGATGGGAAAAACTAGCACCGGAGCCTGAATCTGTACCCGAACCACAGCTGGAACCCGAACCTTCAAAGATGGAGGTAGATCGTTATGCGGGGCTTAGTAAGTCACAGGCGAAGAAGCTGAAGGCCAAGTTGGACAAAGAGGTGAAGTTGAAGGAAGAGGAAGACGCGAAGCGCCAGAAGGAGGAAGAGGAGGTTGCCGAGATGATGCAACGGGAAGAAGAGGAGGCTGCTAAGATAATGCAACGGGAGGAAGAAGAGGCAGAACTGATACGTCTGGAAGCGGAGGTTGCCGAGAGGATGCAACGGGAGGAAGAAGAGGCAGAACAGATACGTCTGGAAGAGGAGGAAGCCGCGGCTACTGCTGGAGCCGGTGTGAGCTCCTTGGATTCAGCGATGGAGACGGGCGCTACGTCTAAGGATGATGATTGTGAATTGCGTTTGGAGCATCTGTTTCGCGATAACAGGTGGTGGGATTGTAAGCCATGCGAGCTGTACATGCAAAAGGCCGCTCTTAAGTCTTATTTGGTGGGGTTGCCAAACGTGAATGAGCTTAGCACAAGCAATGGATGAGGGTGCTATGGAAATGCTTATTTTAGAATACAATAGGCATGTGTTACTATCCAAGAATCACTGCGTAACTATTTCTGGGCTTCTGGTGGCTAGCTATGGAGCTCGACCGTGCTCAGTGTGCCGCTTCACTTGGTTGGGGCCGTCCCGTAGCCGACGGGGGCTGGATCCACAGGCTCGTAGCGATGGCGCTAAAATGACTGCTAAGCAGTACTACCTAGTAGGTAGTAGGTGGCTTAGCTTGAAGCGTCGTAAATTGGCCTAAGCGCAGCACGACAAGCGAGACGGTCCCAGGAAGTTGTGAATTGGTCTGAGTGCGGGCAGCGTGTGCTGGGATTACACGATTTAACCTGCTATTCGGCAACGTGGCGCAACACCGAGCAGGCGTTTCGCACCCAGCATCAACTCAAAGAACAGTATATACAGTAGGAGCAAGTTGCGGGAAAGGCTTACTAGAGAGCCCAAGCCACACGACAACACAAAGGCGTAGCGGCAAAATCAACCGTAGTAGTACGTACGTGCAGCTGATAGGCCCGTACTACGGAAGTGACACGCTTTGACCAACACGCAACGACAGAGCCATGCGGGGTCTGAGCTGTTGCCGTCCACGCGTATCTAGCAGCAACGCTCGAGCCGCCGAATACGATGCCGCTTTCAACAGGGAGCGAGACTCCTTATGAGAACAAGCTCCGACCCGGCGAGAAACAAGCTTACAATGTACGCGCGTCCATATGCCCCTGGATGTGCGCTGATTGATGACCATGAACAGCGTATCATAAACCTCAAAGTGGCCGAGATTCAAAAAAACGACCTCTTCATATGGAAGGAACTTGACAAGGATATGCAGGAAAGAGTGCAGAATGAAGTCATTCGTGAGCTTGAGGAAGAGAAGCTGCCCGAAGCTAAGCCGGGTGACGTCAAGGCGAGCATGGCAAAAAGGTTGAGTAGACGGAAATACGACGGCACGTAACCAAGTGCGCTGCTGAATGCCCCGTCCTGACCTTGTCTCAGAAGGAACAAGGAAAGCGCGGTCAAGCGCCGCCACCGTAGCGCCGAGCCCATCTTTACCTTATGACCCAGTCTGGGACGCCGTTGCACAGCAGCAGATCTTGCTTTCAAATGCCCAGAAACGTGGGCCGAACCTTGAGGGCTAAGGGGTGAGGCCCTAGGTTATGCAGACGCCATTTCAAATAAAACCGTCATCTTCACGAACACGTCATGACCTTCTACTCCCTGTTCTCATCACACTATACCTAGTTGTGCCTGGCTCACTTCATGCTAAATGATTGCGACTTGAATCTTGGCTGATCCTCACAAGAAGACAGTCTAGCCGATTGAAAGGCTCTTAGTTTTGTGTCACTGCAAAGGACGGTCGAAGCTTATGACATCAAGATGAAGCGAAAGACAAGAATTGATTTGCCACGAATACAAAGAATCGGCAAGCAGCTAATTTAAGCGCCTACTACTATCATTACGCACTCTAACTAATATGTTGTCTTCTCTCCGCAGCACTTGGTAGGTGTATCTAGGCCTATAAACGTGATTTAAACAAGCAATTTATTAAGTTGGAGAAGCACAAGGGCATATAGCGAGGACCTTCATTATTAACAATAATTGGGTATAGCTATACATAACCAAGGTTACAAATAAAGAGAATCGTAAGATTTATATATTGTATAACTGATTTTAACATAGAGAGATAGCGTATTCTAGCCCTTTGTAGATAAGCGGTATTATGTATGATATACTATATGTAATAATACTGTAGTATGATAACTAAGTGTGTACATGTTGTGATTAATAGTGCAAATAAGGCTAGTACTATTCCATCTCTAATAACTTCTACTCTAGCACTAATTGTCTTTGTGTCGCGGACTATAAATCTACCTTTAGATTATCTCCAATAAACACGCTATATCTACATTATTAACTACACTCTATTTTATTAGTTATGCATATTGGCTGTCACTTAGCGTAAGATAACCTTAGAGCGGTGTTACAAATTGTATACATAGCTACTAAACCCTTATATAAAGTTTCTTGCTAATCGCTTTATAAATACTGCTAGCTTACAAAAATCCTAGACCTACTCTTACTAGCCTTTTTTAAAACGGTATTAGGTCAAGGTTCTTCGAGGAAGCGCAGGTCCTTCCTACCAACATAAATACAACATATAAAGACTGCCTGTCTAGCCAGCCTTTCCATCACTTCTACACTCCGCGACCCAGCAATACTCTTTCTAGAGTGGCTAAAAAATTAGCCTATCCATGGTCTACTCATTATGCCAAACTAAACTATGATTCCTAGTGAAAAATGGTCGCATAGCGCGCTTTACCCCTGCCCATCTACCTACCAGTCCGCAGTAGCAAACACTGTTAGAACGATGTTTAAAATAGATGCAAATCCAGCTGTAGATATAGGAAACTTGTATACGCTTAATGCACTCTGTTTTACTACTATACGACCTATATAACTTGAGTTATTAGGTAAAATGGGTTAGAAAGTTATTGTTCGTGGATATGACCGTACTAACTTGCTAGGTTTACGCTGTGGGTTGCAATTAGGGCTTAACCCGAAGGCTTAACCCCAAGTCAGCTTTAAGTTAGGGTTACGCCTGCGCCGACCAGTTTCTAGTCAACTACGTATTACGACGTGAGAAGATACTATCATTGTAAACATTTACTTCGAAATCTGAAACTTTATAACTATCGATAACTAACTACATGTGCAACGCATAACTCTAGAATAGAAGAGTGATTGCCTATTGTGATGGAGTCACGTATTCTCGGAGCTTCAATAGCCCACGCTCCTGCAAAGCTGCAGACCTGCCTTGTCCTAGCACGCACTACTAGTCGCACAGCTATGCCCAGATGCTGGAGAGATCAAAATACTAATGTGAGGTGTTCTGAGTCGACGGACAGCGAACCCCTCAGCAATGAATGTCTTCACCTCCCATCCCAGGGCTCTAACTCTAATAGCTTAATTGTACGTTATAACGTGTCACACCACCAATACGCTAGAGTAGTCTAAGCGAACTGGGTGGTTGGAGTTCTTCAGAGACCGAAACCTCGTTTATCTTGAACACCAAGTCTGAGCACCCGAAGAGAGCAAACGTAAGATTCGAGCTAACAGAGCGACTCGTGGAAAGATGCGTGAAAGAACTGGTGACACTTCTGCAAGAGTTGAAACGCTGCTTGTGAAGCGCAAAATAGGGTGAGGTAGGCCCCGGCCAATCAAGTGACTGCAGGATTCAGAACATCAGGCCATGTACATTAGCTGATTAGTGCCAAAGGAATTACAGATGCGTCCTAGTGTGAAAACCAATGTAGGTCGCAGGCTTTAAGAGTGATTAATTGGTGCTAAAAATCGAAATTTAGACCATATTCAGTCGATAGCTAGGTCCATGGTTAAGCTCTAAGCTAGCCGGCCCTACTATGGGCTTATCAATTTCTCGAAGACTCCTTGGTAACGCTTAGTAACTATCTCGTTTCTTTTATTCGCGAATACTGTAGCTTCGACCGTCGCTCTAGCATGTCGAGTCGCAGAAGAATCTTGGAGGTCAAACGGGCGTAATCGCCGACCTCAAAACTTGGGAGATTAGGAGTTCTAAATGAGCGTGAAACCGTTTGTGAGATTGTCGACATGCTTATGCTTGGCTGATAGTTGACATAGCCGTCCTTCAATGACAATTGACCCGAGAAAAATCTCAAGCAAAGCATTGTTCGAGAGGTGTGAACCATTTATTTACCTTGAATCGCCTTCGGTGTGGCTTGGTGGGTCATATCGAGGTAGTGTGCCCATCCCGTTCGTTCTTTGATTGGGCACGTGCTATTTAGGTTCGAGCTTGTGTGCCAGAGCTCTTCCGTGCTAGTTCCGGATACTCAGCGGCGTACATACTCATGTCGAGCATTCTCTAGAACGTCTGTTGAACAGTGTCCTTAAGAACGCTTTCATAAGTATCCTGAGTTTTCCGCTAAGCCTGCTCTGCGTTCATGATCTTATACCTTTTCTGAAGGCTGTATTGCATTCGCTGAATACACCATCGTACAAGAGTGTTATCTAGCTTTCTGGTATTCTCCCAGGTGCTTTTGCGATGGTTTTCAATGATGCTCCTGATGACGAGAGGCAGTTGCTCGTCCTTAGGGACAAACGGAGGCGCCGCGTTCAATTAGGTAAGAGAGTAGTGTAGTAGTATGGCTACTGAGATGGTTTGGTCTCTGCCTGGGCTGGTGTTTGTGAAGAATTGAGATACAAGGCGGACATTGTTTATCAGATTATTACTGGAATGTCTGGCAAGTGAGATTGCATGATCTTGGAGACCTTTGAACAAAAAGTGGACATGAGGCAGTACCAAGACTTCAAATCATATCTGAAAAATACCACTTGGGATGGAAGAAGACACTTGAGATAGAGGTAAAGCCAAATAGAACTTACAGTTGCGAGGCTATTCACTGTGGAGTCAGTTCGCACTAAAATGCTTAGGACTGTGACAGGCTGCACACCCATTGGTAGAGCTACCCGGTAGGATCTCAGTATGTGGCCTGGCATCCAGATTCTGCCCATCTGAGCCGCGCGTAGACATCATCGGTATGCCTGTCCGAACGACGCTCAGGCGAACGGGAGAGCATGTTTCTCCAACTTGCATCAGATCTAAGCGCTCAGGTAGATAGCCGGTAGCTCTCCATCGATTACAACAGATGTAGATTCAGCTCTAATCAACAGGGGACTAGCTCTCTTCCAAGTCAAATTGCTTCTCGTCCTCATCATCCTCGTCTTCTTGTAACTCGGTAACAGCTCCACTAGTGTGGTATGAATCGACCACACCAATATCAACAGCACGGCTGGTCACGAAGAACGCATGCTCCACACCCAGCGGACGACCCTGGCAAACATAGCCAAGCGGAGTGTGCGTGATATCCTGACCTCTGCGGCGGAGGGAAACCCACTCAAGGATAAAGCTGACTATTCTGTTCGTCGTTGCATCAGATCGCCCATTTATGCTGCCATCGTTAATGTAATTCACTAGAGACACACATTCCTCATATTTCATGTACAACTGGCCCGCGAATATACCAAGCTCAATGGTAAGGCTTTGCGGAATGGTGTGCTCTCCTTCAAATGCTGGTACAGCGTGGTATCGTAGACCACTGAATTGTACCATCTTCTTTGTGGCTGGTGCTGAGTACGTGAGGAGATGGACTTTTGGGGGGAACGCTCGATTGCGAATCTGAGGAATCAAAACCTCTGCTTCCTCGGCGATGATGATGAGTGTGTTGAATGTGATGGGACTGTAAAGTATCCATTCAACCGGGCGCTGATGAGATAATCAGTACATCGGACAGACGCGAAAGAAGACGAACTTACCAGAAAGTTATCAATCAAGCACAACTTTTCCGTCTTGATTGTTTTCATGAATTCCACTGAAACAAACAAGCGGGATTCTGTTCTTTTAATGCCAAACCTCTCACCAATAGACGTGCGTGAAACAGCATCAAAAACGTGCTCGTACCCCACGTCTCCACACAAACGACCAGTGCTCACAAAGCCAGAGATGGCAGGATGAATTCCAGGGAATTCATGGGCTTTATAATGTAAAGCTTTCTGCACCTCACGCACTTCTTCGACTTGGAATTCCACCTCACGTTCCTGCTCTACCTCCTCCAGCGCAGAAGAGTGAAGGACATCTGCGGTGCTCGACATACCCAGACGCAGGTGGTTGAGCTTTTTCATGAAATTTTTGAGCTGCGGAAACGTGGTCGTAAAAGGGGATCGGCCATGGACATCATTCGTGCAGCCTCCATAGAGCTGCTCCAGTGTTTGCTGTTCAGGGTGCTGAAGCACCTCGACATATGCAATCCTGTCTTGAGCATCAGAGAGGAAAGCAGCGTGCTTCCATTCTGCGTTTACTCGATTACAAAAGTCGGTACCTTGGGACACGTATAGATTTTGGAGCTGTTCATTCATACGGCACGTCTGTTCCAACAGCCACCTAACGACATGAGAAGAGTTAACTTTGTCCTCCTCTTGTATTCTACAAACATCAAGGATGGACTGATGGGTTTCTGGAAATGCAAAGAAGCAAACAGATTGAGTAGTCGCAAGCTGCCGAAGGCGCATGGCAGCTGAATCTGAAGTCAGTATTGACACCTTGTAAATCAAACGTTCTTACTGACCTTGCACAGTATGATCTTTTGTCTGCCCGAGAGCAAGTGTCAGCGCACCGCAAGCATATTGCGGCAGCTTCAGATCTATGCCCCGCGTGTGTGCTTCATCCAGGTACACGAGACAATTGTCTAGATTGTCGGCGAATGGGGTCGCTAGCAGGGGGACCTGCGCCTTAGTACCACGATATCGCACCCAGGCTCGATTGTCGGCGCCAAAATAGACAGCTGCTGGTGGTTGAGTATCTATGTCCATCCATGCCTTGACCAAGTCTTCGTTGCTCATTTCAAGTATGTAGGCGCCAGAATCAATGAGAATGCGGATATTCCTATCCCTGAGTTGTTCGAGGAATTCTGTCTCGGACAATCGCTTACCGGCACGAGCTACAAGGTGGTATTCACGGTTTCGTTCTTGCAATAGGTAGGTAAGTACCTCAGCGTTCGTTTGATGCAAACTCGGCAGATCATTCTGCTCGATAGTGAGCGGCAACATCATCTTGTTGTCGTTGGTGCCGCTAAACCCAGTAGTTCTCGCACGTGTGAGCGTCTTGCCGAGTTCCGTTCGCGAGAACAGGGGCAGATCCCATCCAGAAGCCTGTAGCTTGATGTCAAACTGTTTGGCATGCGCAGGAAATACAAAATGGTTCATGTAGTGGTCGAGCACGATTTTGTTCGTTCGAAGATGCCTCCAGAGTTCCTCTACCTGATCATGGTCATCGGGATTGATAACATTCCAATGATGCAAGGCCTGTGGAAGCGAATCGCAGCTGCTAGTCCATCTGTCATACTCACTAGCAGGGTCTTGTGATGCCAGAACATGACGAAGGGCTTCGCGGAATTGGATTGGATTGAGACCAGCGTAATAGAAAGCCAAGCATGTGAGAATGATCGCGGCGTCAGGGTGTCCGAATTCAGCCTGCTCGGAGGGAATGCCTTTTGCTTCGAAGGGCACTGCCATCGGGTCTCGCTTGGGGTGCAACCCATACTGTACGTTCCAGCGCTTTCTGAGACAAAAAAGCAGTATTCGGTTGCGCAACAGACCCCGAACAAGCAATAGCGTTTTGAGGGCAACATTCTCATCAATGAACAATTTAGCCACACGCTCTAACAGTTCATTGTCCAGGTTCTCTTCGAAGAGCACTCTACGCAGGTTCGCATCGCAGGTATCCGAAACACAGCCTTCGAAGCGAAGAAATGATGTCCTTCCGGTACAGATCTCATCGGCAATGCTTTGGTGCAGATACTCTTCTACATCTGCTTGAAGGATGTATATCATCGGATAACCCTGACCACGCTTCAGAACTTCGATTTTGCGCGGAAATTCCCGCTCAAGCTCTGGAAGATGATCTTTCACGAGCGATAGCAGCGATTGCGCCACTTTCCAGCGGTATGGGTGTCCATCTACTGTAGTCTGCTTGCCGCTCGGATAGATGAGTTGGGTCTTTACCGCCAATGAAACGTCCGATTCGTCCAAAATGTCACGGCAAATTGAGCTGAGGTAGGCCTGGAACTCAATCATCTCGTGTGCAATCCCCAAGTTAGAGCTGGCAAGATGTTGAAGGCCACCAAGCCTATATGAGAGAAGGTGTTCAGGCGCAATCAACACAACACCCCGACTGTCTAACATTTCCCGATGAAGGTCTCTATAGAGTTGAAGTGTTTGCAGGTTGACCTTAGTCCTGCGGGAGAAAGGAATGTGTCGTGTCTCGCGACCGACTAGGCCGCCCAGTCGCGACTGAATCATTTGTGCAGTCGGTAAAAGCAATGGCTTTGGTACGATGAGACGCGAGAGCTGCTTGCCGTCTCCTATCACTGCCATTGCCATGGGAACGATACATGATGTTTTTCCTAGTGCTGCTTGTCAGAAAGCATTTTGAGTCTACAATTTCCTCGATTTACCTTTACCCATGTTCAATTGCAACACCGTGTTGTCCCTCGACTCTGGTGCAATGATCGCATGTGCAACATCAACCTGCTCCTGCCGAATCAAAATGTTGCTATCAATCTCTAAGAGAAGCCAGTCAGACCATTCCAGTGGACTCCAATTCTCATGGCCGGAGTTTCCAAGCTCTTCATGGAGAGTTTTGTCCTTGCCATGATACAGTGCATTATGAATCCGCATCAGTCGCTGCAACTTTGTGATTAGAATACCATGTGACACAACCGTCTCCCGTACAAAATCCCCAAAATTGCAAGACGAGCTCGAGCGCAGTTGCTCTAAAAGCACGATCGATGTCGTGCAAGGCCAGAGGTTTCCAAGGTTTAGCCACGAGAAGCGGTCGTCGTTTTCAGATAAGGCCCCACGAATCTGAGATAATTGATCAGCTACCGTAACACGAAGACTTTCGATGCATTTTGCGTTGACTGCGACGTTCGGGGTGCTATGCGAAACGTGAATCTTATTACTGGTTTTCTCCAGGGCGTCAAGGCTCATCTTTATATCAAGCCCATACTGCTGGCGGAGAGGGCTTGGTACTTGCGTAAAATCGGAAAGAATCTGCCGTAGTTCAACGGTCTCCTTCTCTGGTATGCTTGCTATGGTGTTCTCCTTCGTACTGGTAGAAAGTTTAGTGTCACTGGGCAGTGGCAGCTCGCACACCTGGAGTTCGAAAGGTAATACTAGCGATTTATCAAGAAGATCTCTCGAGACCGACGGTATGACAGGATCGTGTGTTTTTTCGTAGAATGGTTCTTGCTCCCAATCCCAAGATTTTGGATGGGACGTGTCAATCTGTCCCTTGTGACATCGCAATTCATTCTGCACATGAACTACGTATTCTGAAAGAGATAAGTTTGAGTGCAAGCGCTCCCACTCAGGCATGACACGCTCCGTGGCGAGCCCTACATCGAGAACATCTGAATTAAACCCGTCTAGAGTAATTTTTCGATGTGGCCATTGGCCAAGAAAGTGTTGCGCTAATCGTTTCCCCTCAGCTTCGCATGCTTTTCGATGTTCTGCTTCAGCCCTTGTCTGCAGTCGTTGACGTTTCTCCGGTAGATCAATAGAGATTATATGAAAGATGGATTGTATGCTGGGCACTTCGTTAAGCCTGAACTGGTTGAATGAGGGACAGGATGGAGGTATTGTGTTTCTCAATACAGACAGAGACGCAAATGCCGCCAGGATCTTGATGGTGTCTATGTCAGTTTTGGGGTTGAGCGACATGAGACTTAGGCGAAACATTAGTTTGTAGGGTTCGTCGAGATTAGAGTAGCGACATATATTCACAAGACTGCCCCACTGTTCATCGACACTCCTCTCAACCATGTCGCTTAGGCTCGTAGCGTCGGGCTGACGTATCCCATGAAAGCCGCCGATAAGCTGCCAATTCTCCAATATTGTGGAAAGCTCTCGACCAGTGTGAACTTGGAAAGGTTTCTTCTGGAACAGGTTTGCAATATGATAAACTTTCCGTGCTTGTACCGAATTGGCTTCCTGGCCACGAGATCTATACACACGATCACCTGCTGCTGCCTGAGTCGTATCGTCGACACTGCGCTCATAGATGCGTCGCTGCGCAAGGCCCCGTTTCCTAAGATGAGACGGGATGTATGCGCCAAGTTTAACATCGTCCACTTCATTTTGAGCAAAGACCCGAAGACGTTCCGACTTGTCGAGTATCTTCTGCACAAGCCCTTCGTAGGCATCATGTTGGACGGCCATGGTGAGCCCTGCATTCCAGGACACATTTTGCAGTGCTTTCTTGTCTTGTGGATAATATTTCCGCGTTGGACTAAGATGTGAAATTGATTTGAGAATGTTGAGTGGTCCTCCACCTAACGGTTCCCATGGTTGGCAATGACCTGATTGGAGCATGTGCAACGCTTCTTCGGTACCTGTGCGGCCAGTCAAAGGATCCGGTATGACGAATGATGTATACGCATGGAATTGAGCCTTTGAGTATAAGAGCCGAGGCTCAGGAGGGCAAGACAAGCGTCCAAGTACATCGTCAATTCCGAATTTTGCATAATCAGTGCTAGCAGCTGCTCGAACGGCCACGTGCATTCCATGGCGTGTAGTAGATATTGGTCCGCATGGTGCTATTATGCTGCGGCGTTTTTTGTTTGCGACGTCACGCAGTACGATTTTACTCTCGAAACCGTAGAGTGTGCCAGCATCTTGATTGGGATCGATCTCTTCATTCAACTCTCGACATTCGAGAAGCCCATTTGGGTTTACGAAGAATGACAGTTCCAAATGGCGTAGTTCCACAGACAGCTTCCCCCTGAAATTGACAGGCTGGAAAATGGTAATCTTGTGCGGGTGTTCAAAACCACGGAAGACGCCGGCAACTTGCTTGAAGAGGGAGGAATTAGGGTCGACCAATATTGTCCGATTGCTTCGATGAGCCTGCGATTTGATAAGATCAACTTTCCAGTCGCTTATCCTTGTCCTCCATAGAAAAGGCTTGCGCCGGATCTCAAGACATCTTGTGTTTATATTTAACCAATGCGCGCAGTTGGATACGAGTCCGTCTGGCAGATCGATCGTCTCAGGTCCGACGAAAAGGTGAGGCGGTATGTATTCCAGCAGCCCATCCCGACTCCAAGCACGGATGATGACCCGCCCGTTCCGAGAGCCAAAGTGTATCTCGTTGTTTTTGATACGTGACGCAAGGACGTACGACATGCCAAATTCAGCAGATGGGAATGTGAGGAGATGTTGATTACCAAAGAGCTGTCTCACATCATCTGACTCTCGAAAATCGCGCGGAAGTCTTCCTAGTGGCTTGCCATCGATAAGCAAGTGACCCTCTATAAAGTTGTAGTGAGCTACTTGTGTGTTTGCTGGATTCTTCGTCGCAGTCTTCATGGTGCTTACTACCCATCGGTCATGTACCGGTGAAACTTGCTTCCAACTACTGAAGGATTTCTCCGCTGAACTGCCCGGTTCTGACCATGATGCGTTGATCGCCATGCTCACACTTTGAGGACGGGCTCTTATGGACTGCAGTAGGAGTGATTTGATCTTGTATGTTGTTTTAGTATCTCGAATAAACATCCTCTTCAGAATCGGTGGTAGCTTGGCCACGTCCACAAGGAGGTTCTCTTGAAGAGCCAATGATGCTTGGAAAAATGTAGACAAATCATTCTCTGACATCACAGCATCTGGTTCTTTGCTGTTAGAGAATGTCCTGCGGCAGAGTAATGCAGCCCAAAAAGCATATCTAGCGGCTATTTCCGCAACAGAGGTCTCTTTGGCATTTCTAACATCGGCTCGAAGACGGTTAATCCAAGCTAAGGTGATGCAACGTGCCTGAACCAAAAGTTCGTTCGCTCGCACCATGGGGGCCGCCAAGTGACAAAGGCGCAAACTCAACGTGATCATAACCTCCATGCAATGAATCTCACGCCAATTCGACGAGATGTCATTGAGGCGTATTTCCACTTGTGCGGCTAGGCGGTCACAAAATGACATATCTTTGAAGACTGCATGGATGTCGCCGAATGTATCGTGCTTGTCACTTGCCGGCCCGGCTTGAGTAGCAAGGTGATTGAATATGTGCATTGTACTCTCGTTGCTGAAGTTCACATTCGACGCGCCTAGTTCGACCAACATCGTCAGCCATCGGCGGGTGTTACCGGAAAGCAATCGTTGATAAGCTGTGAACTCATGTACGGACATGTCGGATGGACATTGCGTTTCCGATGCGACGATTTCATATGAAGACGGCCCAGTTATCACAGTAGGAGGATGCGACGAGCTTGGTATGAGCAAGCTGCAAAGCCCAGGTGGTACATGTACTCCGCACTCATGTTGGAAGGTCAATGGTCTGTCGAAATCCTTGATCCAGGTCTTCGAAACCGTGTCGAAGTACGAGAAATTTAATCCATTGGGATAAAGGACATCGGATTCGGACGCTCTCATTTTTTTCTTACCAACTTTGTAATGCGTGCCACGAAATGGTTTAGATGTCGATGCAATAGTGACACCGGTGGATTGTTTCGATGCATATGCTGTGAGCGGGTCGTAGTCTCTTAAGAGTATTGTCGGCGATCCGGATTGTGGTTTGCCAGGGTAAGCCAACATCAAAATCTTCCACGTTGCGTTGCGATATGCAGCAAAACATTTTGGAATACCTAGCTCGAAGATAACTGCTGCTGATTTAATGGGGTCGCTAGGGAGAAAATCCTCGTGCGCATAGATCTGCATGCGGTTCCGGACTCGCCAATGCCAGCATTTGGTACATCCCCTTACGTCTCGCGTCCCATCGGGCTTGAATTTGCAGGTACATGCGCCTCCAGAGATACCCAAGGAATGTTCGTCGAACTCCGACCACCACTTCTCCAACTCTGATGTCTTCGCCTGGCGTGATACCTCCGATGCTTGTTGTATGCTTTGATGGATTTGCTGCAGTGATTTGGAGGTCGAAACGTATCTTACCACAAAGCAATTCTTTTCAGGCTCAGCGAATATGGTTGTCTGATACTTACATCTTTTGCATCTGTTGTGAATATGGCTCTGGATGTCACGAAGTCGGCGCATTCCCGCGGCTGTCGGTAAATGCAGAGCATCTAAGAGCTCGGGAGTAAATACTGGGTGGTACTCTAGGATGATAGGGAAAATATCCATGATGTACTTGTCCAGCCTCACCCAAATTGTGAAAAGACTCAAAATGAACATGGACATTTGCTCGGGATCGGAGTCGTAGGCTGCTCCAACATTGCTCATGAGACCGAGTATTGCATCTGATAGTTTTTCGCAAAACGATTCGAGCGTGGAGTCTTTAGTTAACTTGGGCTCTTCCCTTGTTTCGATCTTGCTCTCCAACTCAGCCAATCGATGATACATATCAGTGAACCGCTCAACTTGCTCGATCGCGGTATCATGTAGCGATGGAAGCTGCAAAGATCGGGGAGTTTTCTTCTGTGAATGACGTGATTCCAAAACGCTTTGAAGGTGCGGTCTACTGTTGGGAAGAGACAGAAATTGTGCTTGCCGGTCAGCACGTGTGGGAAGCACAGGAACAGGCCGTGTCGTCTCTCGTTTGAATTTCTCCCAAGCTAAATTCACTAGCTGCGTGGCTTCCATAATGCTATTCTTGAAGAAGTCTGTAGTAGCGTTGAACAATTGGCCGTATACTTCCGGCATCCTATTCTTCTCTTGCTCGAGTTTTGCAAGACGACGACAGATTTTGGCTCGCAGAGTCATCGTCAGCTCAGGTGCCAGTCTTCCGGGGCATTCGAGTAGAATCTCAACAAGTACAGTGACGATCAAGAACTTGTAGTGAGCTCTCCCAGCTTCGTCCCCTAGCGAGAGTTGTAATTGTCTTTGAATTCCAACGCGCAGTGCTATCCAGAGAGGCAATCTCCGCCATGGGATCTCCGCAGTCTCGATGTTTGCATCATCACGAACACGTTTTCTCAAGCGATTAACATCTTCGTCTACCGGCGACCCAATCGATTCGAGCAGGGGCATAAGAAGATGCGTTATAAGTCCTGGACTGGCTGTATCGCGCGACTCGACGACTGGGGTTTGCGCTTTCGTCACAAGTGGCTGGAAGCATCTCAAGGGCTCTATGCTGCCCTTTTCCAGAAAGTCAGCAAGCGCGTCCTGGAACGATGGCTTTCGGAACTCGTCGGATGGTATCTGCGCTGAGCAATGAGGGAAATCGCAGATAAGAGCACCTTCACTAGCCAGTACTTCGGCAGATGGAGAGGATAGTTCGAAAGCTTCGAAGACAACAGTTTCTGTTTTGACACTATTGTAGAGTGAATCAGCTACAGGGTTCATGCTTTATTGTTGCCCATAGGCATTAGCCATACCTCGAATTGTATCGAACGATAAGCGCGGTGTTCTGTTCTGCGATATGTAGCAGAAGTGGTTGCTCCTCATTGAAGTTGTAAAATGTTGAGATCAGTGTCTGCTTCTCGAGCCGACCATTTATATGAAGACATTGGCAGCGGCGAAGGTGCTGACGAATCGCATACCAGGGAGATGTCTGTTCTTGACTAGCAATTCGGCTCAGAGTAGATGTAGCCTGGATGAGTCGGAGGATGATGGCATCACCAGTGCTTCCAATATTGGCGTCCTGTTTACCAGGAAGCTGTGGTGGTAAAACAAGGTGGTTGAACACTTCCATGAACACGGACATGGCGATATGTGGCATACTCAGAATTCAGCTGCTAGTAGAGGGTGAGATTTACAGCAAGTCCTCACGAAAGGCTGGGTACTGATCCGACATATAAGGGAAATTGTAAGTGACTACAGACTTAACGCAGCTGAGTAATCGTTTCGTGTGGAGGCGAACAATGTGGTGACACATTAAGCTATGCGAATCAGATAGCGCCACATCCTTAGATTCGGACCCACAAAAACTATACTTTTTCCCTAAGGCTAGGCCGTGGTATATCGAACCGGGGGGTTCGTGATGTGAGGTGCAGGAGTGCAGGATGCATCAAGTCTGCTGACGGCTGCGCTTGCTCGGTATCTATGCATATTTATGTGATAGCACATATTTCGTTATCCTGTCATTGTCTAGCATGCCTTCAAGTGAGGCTGAAATGCCTCTCTTTCGATGAGGGCATCAACACCCAGCTTTTTGTTTTATAATATTGATCATCAAGCTCATTCTGCGTAAAACGTAGAGAGATACAATGGAAGCGGAAAGGCGATGATGACTGCGTGATATTCGTTGTCGATACTTTATAAGACAAGAAGGAATGATAACGTCCTTGAGGATCGAGGCGCGATGTCTCTACCATGTTTTCAAGTTTATCAATGGCTGTGTAATCAAGACGACATCCGCCAAATCTTAATCTTGTAGCTATCGAAACCCCAATGTAATCCATTGCTCGATGGCGTTATGCCATCCCAGACATCTTATCATCGTCCGTGTTTTCCCGTCTTGGTATTAGCGCTCTGAACTTCGGATCAGCCGTGTGATTACTTGCAGAAAGTCTGAGGGAACAAAAAAAATGCACTATTAAGTGGCTGTGATATTCTCCAGTTTTGAATGCAAAGCAGCCTAGCACAGCTGCACGCACACAGGCGTAGATGCAGCCAACTATCAGGCTTGCTTCTCAGCCTAGCGCCTCAGCTCACATCTCCTCTTCCTTTCCACTCTATTATCTCTTCACATGTTTTCATCCTGCAATCTGAATAAGCAATTTTGCTCTCTAATACGACTACAGCGAGTCGAGTCCAGAGCCATCCATGCAAAGACTGACGCGAAATCCGAGTGCACCGAAATCTTTCCCTTAGCTCGCACATGCTGCAAGCCCCGCATTCTACCCCACGACTCTCGTATGCCACTGTTCGAACTCAATTACAGTCTCCATTTTCAGGTCATGATGAGACAAGGATCACGTATCCCGCGCAGCAGGACGGCTAGGGTTTGCTTACCACAGCAGACATTGTCATAAAACAGCAACATGCTCAGGCAAAAACATCTAAGTTTTCACACCAAAAAAGACAACTCTAGCTCATCGTAAATTATCATAGCAATGCAAAGAGGCTGAAGCAAGTTAACAGCGAGCAAAAGAGTGATATACAAGTACTCTTGGCGCGCTGCCTTCGAATATTATAGCGTGTTTCAGCCTTTGCAAATCTATAGATGAGAGGATAAAGCTTCATTGACGATAGAGGTTGTTTAAACGGCCAGAGTATATGCTATATATCTTCTGCTACATTCCCTGTGCCGTTCTTTTCTCTATACTAGGCCTTGTGGTGGAGAGAGTCAGTGCGCGCTACGTGTGTTAGAACAAAAGCCACGTACTAGGCTGATGTAGCAAACTGCTGCCCTGTTTGCATGCTTTGTATAGCGAGAAGCAATCGAAACTATTAAATACCTGTTCGTATCGGAAAAGGCTGATATCACTGCTGGTTCGGCTGGTAGAGTCGAGAGACGAGCTTGATAGTTTGCTCATCTAAACTACTAAATGTTGTCCTTGTTAATGTCGTTTGAATACCCACATACTAGCTGTTATCGCTGCGACGAGTGACTTTAATAACGGTTTGGGAAGTTACGGCTCGAATGTATCGTAATCTACCGATGTGGGCTAGCTTGCCATGCGCAGTAGCTACTACCCTACTAATATTGACCAATCGTAGAAGTACACATATAATCGGCGCTGCAAGAGAATCTCAGTGTTTCAAAAAGGAGTCCTTTGTGCGATAAGTATGTACGCAACGATTTTGCGTTACGTATTAGGACTGTTACGAAGGCTTTCCCCGCATGACAAGGCATATGCGACGCTCTTCAACCCGGCGTACAGGAAACACTTCGACTCCGTTACAAGTCAGCATTCAGGACGGGTTTCTCATGGTTCCTTATGTCTGGTTATACAGCCACATAGTCAATAGCTCTCTACCATTAGCGATCAAAACGGCCTGTGACGACAACTCGGTCCGCACTTGAGTATAGAGTATAGGAAATCTGCCGTGTCTCATTCGACAATGATTTGCTACTCTCTTTATCCGGCCTTGCTGCAATTTAATTTCCACATCCTTACGCTCCCCGCACCCCTACCTAGCTAAATGCAATCTTCACCGGTCAGAGTACGACCGAATTGTTCTCATCCAAAGCTGCAGACCGTATGATTTGGGCAACTCGTCAATGCAATCCCGAAGTCTGTAGTAACCACGAACCAGGAGCTGCTACATAAAAGAAAAAGAAAAAGAAAAAGAAAGAAAGCGAGCACTTCAGCCGTCCCCGGCCCTCCCCCTCCCCCAGACCTGAGCTCTAACGCAAGTTGCGGCCACTCACAGCGCACACTTGCTGCTACTCCGATAATCACTGTAAGGTGGCTCGTTCTACCCCTTGCCCATTATCGGGTGAAGTAACCACATACATCGAAGGCTGATCTTAGTACCTGATAAGCGTCTTGGTAGCGCGATATCAAGGTGAGGATATCTACGCTTTCAATTTCCTAGCGTGTGAAACAATAAGCGTCTTTTCCATGATGAAATACTATGGGAGGCAGCTATGGAGTTAATGTAAGGTGCCTGTGTGCACACACCCGCAGGGGATGACCTAACGAGGACCAAGCTCTTTACCACGTGAAAGGTAAGATTGCATGAATTTTGTAGAGACATATCATCAAGTACTTAGCAGTACTTATGCATCTGCAGAGGCTGAGAAAGGATCGACGTAAACGCTAGAAGGTGGTCTCAAGTATTTACGGTGCGATTGTATGGCTTCACCGGACAGCCATCGGTGGATGCCGGAATTAGCTTGCGATTCGTGGGAAAACTAGTGGATCCCCGACCCCTATATTCAATCGAAATATAAACCGATGCTGGGAACTTAGATGCATGTGCAGAATGCAGGTAGACTCATATCTTCTCTGTCATCAGCTGTTTCGATGGTTGGGCTGCATAGCCTAATACAGAAAAGATTTGCGTAAAGCAGATAGGAGATTGAGACTAACGTTCAGCCTACAGCTCTCTTACCAAACTAATGCACATCGATCAATCATGCGGAAAGTTAGCCATAGGCCAGGGAGCAGTATGTTTGCGTGTCGTATGCAACAAGGTAGCAGACCTGACCATGAGAGGCGGGATCTCTGCTTCAGCTCTGTGCTCAGAAGGTAGATCTGATGACTGTTAGCTTTCACCTATCACTTCGATCTTCAACATTCAATGGTTTTCATGTTGGGCTGAGCCCCAAGACCAAACCTTCTATTTATCACTTCTTCAATTTACCCAGTATTCGCATAAAATGCGCATCGTACCGGATCTTCAACTACATCTATAATGGTTATCAGGGAATTTTACACCCGTGTAGTGCATGAACTCAGCTCAAAAGATCAACTAGACTTGCTAGACTCTGTAGATCATCTACGCTCTCAGGAAACCGACCATTATGTCTCTCTACCCCAGATCATCGTTTGCGGCGATCAGTCTTCCGGCAAAGGTTCTGCCCTTGAACCTATCTCCGGAGTCTCTTTTCCGGTCAATAGAAACTTCTTCACTCGTTTTCCAGCCGAATTAGTCTTACGCAAGACATCAGAAATGGGCGTCAGCACCTCCATCGTCCCTAATCATTTGTGTAGCGAAGTAGAGCGTAGATCTCTTAGCAGTTTCCGTGAGACGCTTCACAGCTTCATTACACTACCAACATCAATCAAGAGTGCAGAGACAGCCATGATTATTGGTAGACTTGGTCGAGCTTTTTCGAGAGATCTCTTGCGGATTGGAGTGCCAGGAATTACCATTTATAGACAAAACAGCAATCTGCCGCTGGTATCTACCTTGTACAAGATTTCGTCAATTCATACATGAAAGAGCCCACGAACATCGTCTTCGCAGTTACATCCGCAAAGAACGATCATGCCAAGCAGATTTTACTGAAGCTCGCCCGAACTACCGACAAAGCCGGAACTCGAATGCTTGGTGTGATCACGAAGCCTGACACTCTGAGTCCAGGATCTGACAGCGAAGCCATATACCTCTCGCTCGCTAGAAATCTCAATGTGGAGTTCTGTCTTAGATGGCACATTCTCAACAATAGAGATTCAGGAACTGAATCCGGGGCACTTTGAAATCGTGACGAAGAGGGAACCCATTTCTTTTCTAAAGGCATATGACACACGCTGCCCGAGTCCAGCCTCGGCATCGTGCCGTTGAGAGAGCGACTGAGCAAAGTACTTCTTGTCCAGATCGCAGTGGAACTCCGGAGTCTTGTGGACGAGATCCAACTTAAGTCTGCTGCTTGTCACGCTGAACCCCAAAAGCTAGGCCATCGCCAGGCTGATAGCACAGAACAACACCAATTTCTAGCCATCCCCATCCAAATATGCCAGGCTCTCACCAAAGCCGCCGTCGATGGGACATACAACGATGACTTCTTTAGCGATACGAAGGCTGACACTGGCTACCAGAAACGCATTCGTGCTGTGATACAGAACCTCAAACAGATTTTTTTCAGACTATAGCGCGTGATGGACACTACTTTGACATCACCAACTCTTCACATGCAAGTCTCCTACAAGTCAGCAGACTGAATGAGAATATTTTTAGCGGGCCCGAGTTAATCAAGCATATCGGGTTAGGATAGCCAAATAGTTAGATCTCAACGCGACAAAATCCCCTACTAAGTCTGAATTTTTGCGCTGCATTGACTGGGCTACTTGAATAGCACAAGATTGTATCATCCAGCCGCTTACTGCTAGAAAATCAGGAGGTCATAGCTGCCTTCGTGGATTTACTCATCTCATAACGGAGCAAGACTCCTCTACTACAGTTCTATCACTGAATATATACGACCCGATCAAATCATAGTAAAGTAGGTTCGGACTAAATTATCAATCGTTTAGCAGCTCGAAATCTCAGTTTAATATTCTTTAAACATAGACACGGAATTGTGTCGTCCGGGGTTTTCTTACGTATAGTGGTATCTTCGTCTCAATACTGACGTTAATTTTGTAGACTGCAGCAGCTTTTGGAAAGTAACCAATCATGTTGTTGCAGAATAGGGATATGTCAGAATTGGTATTCAGCTATCTTGTTACCGCAACTTGATTGGCTGTGAAGTGTTTTTTTTTGAGAGATCAACCCAGCGACAGCATGATAAATCGAACCCCTCGCAGCTTATCAATCACGCCGATGGGAGGTAGTGAGAAAAGTCCTTCCTTCTCCCACTCTGCTGAGAAGTTCGGGGTTGATTGGACGACCGCTCTTTGAGATATCTCTTTAAACTCCAAAGGGTCATCGTACGTGTGTGCAGTCATAATCAGGAACCTCAGCCTGTGTGCATGATTTCTTGCCTGTTCCGAATGCCGATACTAAGTTGGTATCCGTGTACCCAAGGACTCTTTACAGCCGTACTTGTCGTAGAGAACTGATAGATATGTCAACTGCTCGGCGCCTTTAACGTAATTCGAGCAGCTACCTTGATGGTAAAGGATCCTAGGCAACAAGTCTATAGGATAGGCATCGTCTTCAAGTTCGAATTTAGGGAAATTTTCGTTGAGTAACCGCTGTCCTTTGTTGAAAGAAGGCTTGAACGTATTCGAAAAGACGAAAGATGCGAGTCGAATAACTGCAGTCGAGACTTGACGCTCTATCCTGACGTCGCTATCTTGTTCCAGGCACTTCAGCACAGCATCTCTATCGGAGTCGAGTATTGTGGTGTGGTTCGAATTGTTAGTCATTGGGGATACAACTTCATTTCCTGTAGGGATCATATTGACATACTGGTTGCATGATGAAAGACAGCCGTGCTTTAGGTTACTTATCTCCCGCTATATCGTCGTTCGTCGCAATGATTTTGTGCAATTTTTTTTTGGAAATAATTATTTTGTCTCATACTTCACTGGTACGTAACCTATCGACGTCATTGGATAATTCGTAACAGTAACGCATTGCTGGGTGAGAGGCGACTATATGACCATTGTAATCCGTCGTTTACCCAACACAAGCCCACTGCCCACAGAGTATCGGGACTAAGCCCGGTGCGCTTGTGCGTCGATGGGCATGTAGACAAAGACCAGAGCATGATCGCCGCGACTGTCCGATTCATTACATCATTGAGGCACATAGCACGCCATATCGAAGTGAGCTATCTCTTAGTTCACAGCAACACAAGAACCAGATACTGGTTAAACAGCATTATTAGAAGCTAGGGATGATCATTGTAAGCTTTCCAAGTCTTTATAAAAACTTTAATCAGCTTATGTATATTGATAGATTAGTAGAAAATGTTTTTGATCTCTTATGAGGAGAAAAATACCGAAGGTAATAGCAAAAGCTCTATTAGTATTCACCGCGCTAAGACACAGGTACCGTTCATATGCTTAAGCCTTTGAGACTTGATACGACTCCTGATTAAAAGTAAGGAGCAGCCTCAATCACTTGAGATTCTAGAGTGGTTCTGGTGCGGGTATAGCGGGACCTGGGGTTGAAAGCAATTGATTAGATTTTGCACTAGCGCAGCCCTCAGACATATCTGTGGTAGATCGAGATCCATGCAGCGTATGTCGTCATATGCGTCTACCTGATCAAAAATGACGTACTATTGGGAGTATTTGTCTACAAAAGGTGATAGTTAAAAGCGCTTACTACCTACTCCAACTCACTCACACAACTGCTCACGTTCAGACTTTCACCACAACCTTCGTATTCACCTCATGACATCGTCACTCTTCATCGTTATAATCAGTCTTGCTTTTGCGAGTCCGGCTTTAGCCGGCCCCGCAGCCTACGGATTGTGTCAGGCAGGTTGCTCTGCAGTAGTCATGGCATGTTACTCTGCAGCTGGTTTTACTTGGGGGGCTACCCTCGGTGCTTCCGCTCCTGCTAGTATCATCGCCTGCAATACCGCATTTGGTACCTGTCAGGCTGCGTGTGCCGCCGTGCTTTTGAGTCCAACACCATAGAAGGTACGACAACGCGCCAGCCGTTTTTTGTGTATCTATCTCGAAAGGCTTCGAGATTACCACTAAAGATGAACGGCAACTCCTCAATCTTCTAAACTTGATACTCTGGGCTCGTTTAAGCAACAAAGAAGACTAAATAACAAAACTTATAGGTGTGTAAAGGAAGAAAAAAGAATATCATTGTTCATTCTAAAAGTTAAGTGGGTTGTATTAGTAGTTCAGAATTTTAAAAAGATATGTAAACCAGAGTTTTCGTAATATAAGACGTGGTTTGAACTTGCTTTTTCTAATGGAGCCATGATTACACTATATTATAAATAATTGATACATGCTATATCGGTTGTCACTGGGAGTAACTCAATTATATTATTCACTAACGAATAGTGAGAGACGACAGAGTTGAAGTATCGCAACTCTCACTAATTGCAGGCAGCCGAAATAGCTGCAGACTGAGATTCATTATCAACTAGCGATCATCTATGAACGCTAATTCCATTTGTCTTCTGCTCGTTGAGTTTGTTCCGGGAGAACTGCAGGGAGCTGTGACAAAGTAGGATTCCAAAATCTCAGTCATCGCAATTACCTAATTTATGCTAGTATATTAGGTGTTATCATGAGCCAGTTATATTCTCCGCAAGCTGGAATAGTGGGCAAACAGAGATTACTTAGCACTATATGAATAGTTCGTGATGGCAACTCTTTACGTATGCCAAGCCATTCAACATTCGTGCATAATACAGAAGCACCTATACTGTTGTCCTGTAGGCTAATCCAGATACTGCATTGATTTATTATAATAGGAATCAAACGTAGCCCAAATAAACCTGTTTTATTTGGTGAGCAGTGGCCAGTAATATGTATGAAGGCAACAGTCCTGGACGAAACTCTACCGGCGCTAACGCAAAGCGGGTATTGCGACATGCCATGTTCGCAAATAACCAAATACAGTTTAGCGTATCAGTGGTGTCAACATGTAACCCTGTCTTATATCTGTAACCTGTCTGCGGCCTTGCGTTCAAAGTATGCTGTCAGTTTCTCTATTAATACAACAACAGCAAACGCCTACTGAAAACGCTCTATGAAAGCGATAATATCTTCGTCTATATGCTGCATTCCCGTTTGTTTATAGTCCTCTAGTTTCTAGTATATATGAGCAAGATGCACTTCGGACTGCAGCTTGATCTTGTTGACTTCGTGCCTAAAGTTTATCGCGTCTAGCATAATCGTGAAATTCTTATCTACTAGCTACGTTCTGCCTGTCGTGCATATGAATGCAATACGATTGAGACTAAAAAACTCGCGCTCGCTACGTACTCGTCCGGTAATGTTGTGTACTTGCTTCCTGATTTCCCGAAGGTCGGGCAGCTCCTCGAATGTTGAGTCTTGGAAGTTGCCATCCTTTCTTACTTTGGCCTCCTATTGCCCGTTACGTAACCTGACCCATATACCTGCTGCTGTGAGGAGTCTAACTCGGCCGAAGTAGATGTCTTTGATAATATGCTGACCTTGAGACTGGATGCTCCGAAATTGTGGGCTTCCAACGTGAAGGGTGAGATTGCTGACTGCAAGTCCGCAAAGCTTGCGCTCTACCTCTAGAAGAAAGGGCTGAGATATGGCTTTTAGAAACAGAAAACGCTAGAATCTATGACTGCGATATTTAGCAAAAAGAATGTAAGTTGTGGATGAGAAGCTAGGTAGTGGTATTGGTCTTGAAGAAGACTGGATATCGTTGTATGAAAAGTAGACCCTTCTCGATAATTGAAGAACAAGACCATTGCTGGCAAGCCGATATTCCCAAGTCAGTACGTCGAGTGACAGCATCAGCAGCTGGGCATACTGAGTTTCTCTTCCACGAGCATAGCCTGATCTAACTGCCTCGGCAAACCATCTACCAGGATCACGTGACGGTTGCTGCACACATCTTCCTTGACACTATTTTGGAAAATACTAACTAACACCCCTGTGGTAACGAGCTCGCGTCTTTGAAGCTAGGATGCTGCAACTTAGTCTACTATAGAGTTGGAGATTAGTGTCCTTAACGTATCTCTAATAGATAAGTAACAGAATCTATATTCGTTAGAAAGTCTTGTACACAACATGCCCTTATTAGAACCATAATCTCCTGCAAATCTTAGTTACATACTTAGAATCTTATGCACTTATTAATGACGAAAACGGAGATTGTTGCAATACAGTCCATTGCAATTTGTAAGGATATCAGCCTAGGGATATAGCCCTATGTGATGGCATGAGTTCACAGCCCTCCATTTATGCCTCGCAAAAGCGGTATTGTACCCACATCATCGCTAAATAGCATCCGTGGACGTTACAAAATTTCATGGCAGCAAGTGAACATCTTCAGCACCCCATTTGCTTATTCCGTGTCATTCCTTGTTTCACGCTCCAAGAATACACTCAGTTTCAATCTTGTTTAACAACGAAATCAATCCTTACAACTTCTATACAGTCAGCTTACAGTGCCTTTCCATCTGGATTGCGTGCTTCTAAATTATCTTAAGTCCCAAATCTATCTGATAATATAAATCGTAAGCTATTTCTAGTAATTATACGCTAGATTAAGATAACTAGTGTAATTCTGTTTAGCGTAGTGCTCCGTTGAGCGCCGACCGAATTTGGAGTCGCTGCTCCCCTGTATATTAAAGTCCTACCAGTCTCCTTCATTTCCGAGTGCTGAACAAATTCAGGAATTGATGACTGTGAATATCCGGCATAGCTTATGAAGGCGTTTGGTTTCCTATATAGAGCCTCTGATGCAAACTGTGGATGGTAGATCATCGGTCAAAAGGTAAGGGAAGTGGCCAATATCACAGAAGGCTTTATGCACACAAACCGAGCGCTTCTCAACCATATCTGCCATTATTGTACCAAACTCACTGCCCAGAGTCTGAACTTCTATCAAGGACGCCTCTCACCACCTTCAATAGGGACTTAATAGAAATGACCTTTCTCTCAAATTCAATAGTTTTTGATGTCTTAAAATATATCTTTGTACAACGAGCTATTCAAGAGAAGCTCCGGCGACGATTGGCAGCTTTTTTTCGATATGGAATAGTCGTTTTTTGTCAGACTGGAACTATCAAGCCTTCTATCACCGAGGCCACTAATGTAAACCCATGCACGATCTAAGAGGCCCGTCACCCGTAGCGAGTGCTTCGAGTCGCCAACATTCAACCAGAACATTCGCAGACGAGCTTGTGTATGTGCTCATTTATTACAATTCTCATTATCTAAACATTGTGCATGCGGCTTATAGCATGTGACCGTTAAGTTTCTCCCTTTGCTAGCCCTGCGTTACAGGGCACAGAAGCCATTGAAGTATGTATCCTGCCTCTACTGTTACATCGCTACTGCGAGATAAGCCGACAATCTTCAGATACTCTCGGTATGCTGTAGCTCGGATCTTGGCGTCGCCAATGTTCACTAGTCATCTAAGTATCACATTGGCGATAGTTGCAGCATGCATTGATATATGCATGCGACATGCTGTTGTGTAACTGCGGCTTGCCAGATCTGCAGTGGCGCAGTGACACATGTCAGACTGAAGCGCTGGTTTCCTTTCTAGATAATCATGCAAACTGCAAGTGAGGTATTGAAAGAAAATAGCCATCAAGGGCATGTCATATCTACACTCCTAATACCAAATATGTCTACGATCTGTGGACCCTCAGGCTGAACGTTGTGGGGTCCTCTAGCTGAACACTCATTGGAAGGGCGATGCTTGGCGATCAGCCAAAAAGTGGGATTTGTGATGGCGTCACAAGATCTCAGTGATCGAACCATCAGCCCCTTGCCCCAGGTTTGTTTCTGGGTACTGTGCTCTTCGTACACTGTACTGATTGCACGCTGATATAGGAGAGTTCCCAAGGAGACGATCATTTGAGAGTATAATTCTTTCAAGCGGACAGCCTCGATAGATCGAGGAAGTCTATATTCTACAATATCGTCTGCTAGATTGGTGACGAACATTAACAGATGACCTCATATTTGCGATCAACTTGACTATTTTATTGACTCCATAATCACTAGCATTCGAACAGCGTGTCTACTAATCATGACGTGATGCGTTACAACCAAAACAATTGCTGAGTCTCGCGGTGCCACTTTTCCTGCGACAAGCCTAGATCTGCACCTACTGCATCGGTGAGGTCAGCAGATCGAAGCTTCCAGAGACAATCATTTTGGTAACCAATCAGAAAATTCCTTTTTTTGTGGATTATGGAATCGCAATGCAGCACCAGTAAGTTATAGCTGCACATTAGGCTCTATGCACCTAGTTGAAAGTGAGCAATGTCGAAAGCCCCGTGCCAGGAAATTGCCAGCCACAGGAGATCTTTCCAAAATAGTCCAACTTAGAACAATACCCACGCAATGGGCTTGCATTTTGTCTGTGTGGCAGCTTGGCATCAGATCGGCGTACGATACTTATGCCTGAATACAAAGGTACAGCGCAGGGTGAAAATAAATACATGAGCATTCTGCAAGTCTTCTAACGCTATAATCTATCGAATTTATCACGATCTGCCAACTTTGGATGATCATGGAATCTGTCCAAGGCAATATAGGCTATGATTTCACAAATGATGAGTATCTTACCAATGCTTTTGTCGCAGCCCACAGAAGCGAAGAAGACGGATTTGCAAGCGACGGTAACAGAGGAATGGCTCGGATCGGGCAGATAGCTATTGAGATGACAGAAACCTTCCATGCTGTTGTAGTTGAGAAAGCGTATCTAAGTAAGTCGAGTACTAAAAAGACAAATGAAGACATCCTAATTCATGTAGCTGAGATCAACCGTCGGAAATATTGGTGGAAAGACAAAATGAAAGTAGCAAAAGCATGCAGAGCTTTGGATATTGAGCGAAATATCGTCCGCAGTGTTCGACAGACAGGGCAAGAACTTTCCATTGAAGTGCTGAATTTTGCATTGAACGCTGTAATCGGCGCTGTCTGGCTTGACTGTCAAGATCAGAATAGAAGCATCAGCGAGTCATGCAATACTATTTCAAGAATCTTGAACCAAATTGACACTTTCCTCAATTCATCGACGGCCGCCAGTGGCAACCAAAATGCACTTTCTATCGCTGAGAACAGCGCACCAGTCTTGTCGACAGGACTAGCGACGCACGAAACACCAGAGGGAACTTTAGTAAGCGACTTGGACATAAGGGAACGTTCGGCCAATTCTGAGACATACGAAGGTTTTTCTGTGTTTTCACCGCTGTCAGTCTCGGAAGAATATGAAGACCTAGTAACCGAACAATCGTCGCCCCAGCGGTTCTTTCTCAAACAACAGCCTTATCTAGAACATGGCGGTGCAGATTCTTTCAGTCAAAATCATGACCATGGAAACACCACCAGCTTGTTATCAGCTGGAACACAGAGTGTGCGTGTACAACCTGTTCTCTCGGTTGAGCAGGAAAGAGTCATAGAATCCATAACGCCTGGAGAAGCTGACAGTAGCGCATCCATCACTGCAACGTTGAAACGAGCCTTGCCCGGCCGAGAGCCTAAGGAATTAGTGGTAGCACAGGACACAGAATCGTTGGAAAGGAAGAATAAACGAGCCCAAACAGAAAGAGGCAGGGTTGATGCAGCACTCGAATCATTGCTAGATGTAGAGCGACAGAAGATCGGTCTACGTTCAGAACCAGAGCGCGCCAAACTACTAGGATATCTAGAGTATCCCAAGACCGCTCGGCTCAAGGACCCATTGCATACATTAAAGTTTTTGTATCTGGCAATCGGCAGCTGGTATACCCTTGCCGACTTTGCCAGTCAGCTTCAAAGTATTGGGGAAACGCGGCGCCCCCTTGCTTTACCGTCTGCTTTCTGTTCGACTGCATCTATGGCATTCAGAATTATGTGCCGACTCGACAATGAGAGGAGTACTTGCATCCTGTTGAAACGATATTACGCGATAAAATTTCTTGAGGCTGGACAGCAGTCTTCGCAACCACGTGAAAGCATGCAAATGGAAATTGCAGTGACTTTTGGGTCAGAAAACACACGGCAAAGAGGCAATCCCCAGATGCGGCAGGAAGCTGCTGAGATCAAATTTTTGACTTCCAGGATTGCCCCCGATGTTGAAGACACGTCTGACGAGTATTCGGCGGTTTACGACAAAGTCAAACGTTTCCGACAACTAGGAAAACGATTGCAAATATTGGAAAAGCGCTTCGGCGTTGGTGTATTAGTCCTCCTACCTTCTGGACCTTCTTTTCCTGGCGTCTCTTTGACAGATCGCATGTGAGTATGCTATGTATATCTTACAGCACCGGAAACCTGACTGAACAAAATAGGCTCTCTGACATCAGCATGAACGATCTTGCTGAATTTTCTACGTTGTTAGAGAAAGGACAAGGGCCGCTTTTGAGGAAACTTAGCAATGCGGTTGCGCCAACGTTGTTAGCACTTGCAGCCTTCTACCAAGGTCATAACACGGATCCACCACCTACTCTTGTAGACATAGAGAGCTTGAAGGATACACCCAAGGCGCTACTTACTCTGTCGCCTGATGAATCCCATGAGTTCTAAAAGCATTCATAATCAAGTCTACTCGCGCCACCGTGTTGGACGGCGAAGCGTCCAATATGTCGGGCCAGAAGCACCACCTGTCACCAACCAAAATGAATCTATCGTTTCTTCTCGAACAGATATTTTTAGTGATCCTTTCCATCAATAGTCCAAATAAAATTCTTCACACGTATTCTGTTTTAATACACTGTCCCGTTCGAAAGGTTAAGGGCGATCCCCAATCGAGTACTCAGTCAAAAATCAAACTGAATTTCCATCGCCAATGTTGGGGCGGTTGAGGAAGTTGCCCGCTACATTGACACAGCAATGTCAAAAGAAAACTTGCGAAGCGGTGACTTCGTTCTCAGAGAAAGCTGATTATAGGGACATATGGTATTACAAGGATATAAGTCCATCGGTGCGCCTTCCAGGCTGAAGATCTAGGAGTGGTGATTTATTACTCCACATTGGCCATTCTTGACTAACTTCGATGTTCTGAATCCGTAAGCGAGATCTATGTCTTACATATATTCTATTAGCTAATAATTACTAGAATAATATTCCAGATAGATAATTCCTACTCCTTCGAGGATAAGTCAGATCCCTTGGCTAGTTAGTGTATTAAAAATGTCTATTAGATGTTATGAAGACTATCTTGTCATACATAGGCAAGGTTGTTCGCGTACTTGCGTGGAGAGTTCTAGGCGTTCCTGTATCGCCTGTACAACCTCAATCTGCGTCTGAAATCATTGAAGGCCGATGCAACTACACTCTCACAGCTACTAGTACTACAATCGATTAACAAATCCGTTTAAGCTAGATCAATTCGGACATATCTAGAGTTCTAGGATGTCCTAAAGACTTCTAACTTAACTTTTCCTGTCATCAGCGTCCAGGCCCATATCCCACCAACAAACAAGATGTCAAAAAAACCGAACACCAAACTGCCTCCAAAGACAAGACTGTGATACGTCCACGCGTCACCCACATTTAGATGCGCAACCTGGCATACGATTGCCCACGGCAACACGTACAGGAGGTTTGATGCCAACGATTGATATAGATACCAGCGTGGGCGCGTCGCGAGGAGGATGGTAGCTAGCTGTGTCGACGCTGCATAGAAAATATAACACCAGTCGATCGTCCGCCACATATGCGCAGTGATCTTCGCGACAGCGTCGGAGTTACTGAGGTATCGTGCGAAAGGGCGAGTGCCGAAGAAAGAGAGGAGGACACAAAGTGGGATCTCAATGGCGAGTGCGATGAGGAGTGATATCAGGGCCGGTCGGATTATTTGGAAGATAGTCCGCCGATCGGTTTTTGCGCGGCGGATGTCGATTCCGATGTTCTGCCGCCATCGGCCCCAGTTGTGGCCTATGAATGCTAAGGAGGTTGCTTCAAGTGCCTGGACGGGAACCATGATGAGACCCCATCTGATGGTGTTGAAAATGCCCCAGGCGGTGGCGTATTCGGAACCCATAGCTATGATACCGCTTACCAGCCATAGATACAAGGCGTTACGGATAGCGGATTCAGTAAAGGTAATTGTCCCAGGTCGAGCTAGGACCTTCAGCGCTCCCAGGCTTGGGAGAGTATTTTCATAAGGGTGATGGTGCTCGATTGCTGCAAGAGCCCGAAGACTGGTGGTGTAGATGAAGTAATAAAGACCTACGAATGCCGCGCTGAGGTTGCAGGCTAGTTGGATTCCTGCTTGCATGTTGACAGACGGCTTGAAGCTTCCAACATGGAAGCGAGAGATGATGAGAAGGTCAAGCAGGATATTAATAGCGAACTTGATCGAACTGATGATCAGTGGAACATCTGGTTTGTCTAGGGCTCTTGTGGAAGTGGAGACGGCTACCTCGATTGCAGAGCTGAGCGCGGAGAAAGCACTGATACGGATGTAGGTTAAGCTTGCAGCCCGCACCTCTACGGGCACGAAACCTTTTGCAAAGGTGGAAGATGCGGATATAAACACTATGCTCATTATTAAGCCAAGGATTGATTGAAAGAGGATCAGCGTGTGAGTTAGCTTGAGTCGTTGAGGCAGCGAGCGTGATGCTTTGTCGCCGATGACAACCCAAGCTGCTCGTGGAAGACCTTCATTCAGAACTTCTACTATAACGCCGATGTAGGTGTACACATCTGTGGTGACTACGAGCGAGGAGTCAATATTGGATACCCAGAGCTTTGAGAGGGTGCTGTAAAGGGCTGGGAGGATAAAGGTGGCGAGATTGAAGATGAGCGCGCCGAGATATCTAAAGGCATCGTATCAGTTCGTGAGGGGCTGCTACAATGGGAACAGAAACTTTACCGATCGCGAGACAAGCGAAACTTCCATCTTGCAGATGTATCAGAAGTTTCCGTTCTGTGGCCGATGGACATTGCTCGGTTTGATACCCGCTCGTTAGATCCAGAGACCTCGAGAGAGTCGTCAACTTTGGGCAGCATCCTGTAATGGTACTGCGACCGTGATGTAAATGCCACTATCGTTCTCTTGAAAGGTCTCAAGGACTTCATTAGTTGACCGATATGAACTTTCGTTGGGCGGGGAACACTTTCTGTCTCCTGGGGTTGAGTGGTTATGCATCAACGTCTGGGTGGAAAAGTAGATACTAAGGCGCTACCTAGCTCGCTTGCAGAGCACGTATGCTATCTCTAGATTCATAATGTCACAGGTAGCAAGAAGGATACTTTCCCCAATGGGGCGGGGTAAGCCGACCAACAGTTACGTCAGAAGGGCATAATTATCGCGGGGTAAGGATTACGTAATACAACGTCCTGCTAACACGAAACATTATCTTATTAATTCAGCTGACTACTATACTATCAGAAAATTATAACTACTTAAACCTAGTATATAAGTTAAACTTCTATAACTATACTAGAAAGAAAACAGTACTGTTAGTATATTGTTAGGCTAAACTAGAATATAAGATATAGAGTAATTAATTATAAAGAAAGAGTAGTTAGTTATAATATTAATTTACTCTATATTCTTTCTCTAAAGCTATAGTCTTATAATGCTAGATTATAGTTAGTTATTAAGAATATAGTCTACTTTCTTAGATAGATAACAGATAGTCATTAGCTATGATTTATAAATCAATAAAAAAGAAACCTTAGTAATAATAATACCTTAATTATAAAACGTGACGCCATTCTAGTAAGAAAGATAAGAAAAACTTACGTATGGCCTATTTAAACTCTAGAGTAAAAGTAGAATAATAGGCTAAGGAGTAACGTTTTAGGTAGCGGCTGTAGCTATACTGCGCGTGTTATTCCACACGCACTGACCACTTACGCTAGAGAAAACTTTCACGACGCTAGGATCAGCCTCTTCCAAATTGTCGCTAACCAGTGGAAATTACCCTGTCTAACAAATCACACAGCGGTGTTTCGCATCTGTCAAGAAACTGTCTGCAACTGACTACTAGTACTGGTATCATTCAATTCACACATGCGTGGTGTTTTCAATACTATAGTGAACTCAACATGTTGTAAGCTGCGTACCGTAGTGTTCGTATAATACTCAACAGCTCCATGCAGCGCCACCAGAGGGTGGTCCAGGCTCACAGTAGATGTACATGACGTGCTTTAAGCGCGAAAAAGAGAATTTCTCAATCAACAAGGGATGAGAGTATACGCGTACTCAATTCTAGCAAAGCTTTATAACCCTAGCCGCTCAGTACCTAGTAGTATTCCACGGACCTTATTACCTGTGTGTATCTAAACTCTTCCCTGCAAACATGCTGGACCGTATCCAGGATATCGAGAGTTCAGCTCATGTCAATTATCATGATTCCGATGACGGCAAACCAATTATCGAGCCACAACTGAATGTTGGCGGCCAGGGCGCTACCCAGCGTCGTCTCAAGGATTATCATGTTACTATGATTGGCTTTTGTTCCGGAATAGGGACTGGACTTTTCATTGGAACAGGTTCTGCATATGCAAATGCTGGTCCCGCAGGCTTGCTACTTGCTTACATTATCGTTGGAAGTGTGTTGTGGGCTGTGATGCAAAGTGTTGCGGAGTTGGCTACTATGGTAAGTACCCCGTAACGTTGTATCCCAAAACAATGCTCACCATCATCCAGATTCCCACTGCTGGTTCATTTCCGCATTTTGCGAGTCGATTCATTGATCCCGCTGTCGGTTTTTCTTTGGCTATAAGCTATGGCTATTGTTACACTATATCCATTGCTGCTGAGTGCTCGGCATCCGCGATTCTCGTAGGCTACTGGACTGACATCTCGCCTGCCGTCGTCATCACCATCAGTTTGGTCCTAATTCTTGGAATCAACTTGCTGAGTGTGCGCTGGTTTGGCGAATCCGAGGTCGCTGCAGGCACGATTAAGATCGCGTGCTTCCTTGGTCTGATCTTGGTTTCCATCGTCATAACGTCGGGAGGCGCACCAAACCATAAGACAATCGGTTTCCGCTATTGGAACAATCCTGGACCTTGGGTGAACTACAATGGTATCGCCGGATCAACCGGTCACTTCCTAGGATTCCTGGCATCCTTTGTCAACGCAGCGTTCTCCTTCATCGGCGTCGAGGTGGTGGTTATCACCGCTGCTGAAAGTATCAACCCACACGTAGCCATCCCAAAGTCGGCCAAACGAGTTACATTCCGTATCGCGCTGTTCTATATTCTGGGAGCTCTTCTCATTGGAATTATCGTCGACCCTAGGGATCCCGGTCTCGTGTCGGACAGTGGAAATGCCAATTCTTCGCCCTGGGTTATCGCCATAAAGCAGGCTGGTATTAGCGTACTTCCTTCAATTATCAATGCCTGCATTCTGGTATCTGCTTGGTCAGCAGGCAATTCTTACTGTTGGGTTGGATCACGAATCATTGTCGCGATGACAACAGATTGCCAACTTCCACAATTTTTTGGCCGCACCTGGAAGAACGGAGTACCATACTGGGCGGTTCTCGCCTCATGGGCCTTTGGTCCTCTCGCATATCTCAGCCTGGGTTCTGGTGGCGCTGCGAAAGCGTTCGGCTGGCTCGTCAGTCTTAGCACGGTTGCGGGCTTAATTGCTTGGGCGACATTATGTTTCTGCTTTATCCGCTTTTATGCTGCTATGAACGCGCAAGGACTTAGCCGAGATGGCTTGCCATGGAAGAGCCCGCTTCAACCTTTCACCGCATGGTATGGATTTATTGGGTCTACTATCATTACCTTAACTACAGGTTTCCCTGTCTTCTTAAAGGGAAACTGGAATACTGGTGACTTTATAGCTTCGTATATTGGTATCCCGATTTTTATCGTGCCTATCGTTATTTGGAAGCTATGGTACAAAACAAAAGTATGTCCTTGCCTATCTCTCGCCGCAAGTGGAGTTCATTAACATAATGCAGTTCGCTCGAGCGAAAACTATTGACCTGCACTCTGGACGTCTTCAGTGAGCATGGTCTTCGTGACTTCCATTCTTTCAAAACAGCGCGTTCATAGCAGGCGGTAAGGACGTGATACTGTCTAAGATGGTGCTCACTCTATGATTGAAGATATGCCGGTATCTTTCGACATAATACTTCTTAGCAAAAAGGTTTTCACATTATTGATTCATATTCCTCTATTTTTAACGTGATAATTTGACTAAAACATAATGTGTTGTTGTGCATGCTAGAGAATGTTAATATATAGTTACTGCTCGAACTCTTTAAGAAAGTAAAATAGTCAAGATGAAGTAAGAAATCGCGGTGAGAGTTAGCAAAAGGGGTAGAGTTAGGTGTTACACGGGTTTTAATAATAATACTTCTCTAGCCTTTAAATGGGTTAGAGCGAGTAGGATAATATAAATAGCTCTATAAGAGTTTACCTAGTAAATAATCAGACGTCAAGCCTATATTAGAAAATGAATACACTCTATCTAGATAATCTAGACCTCGTATATAGGTTTTACACTAACGTACCTTATAGGTTCGCCGGCCATACAGGTTCGCCGGCCACTTTTACCAAGACCCTACTAAACTACCTATTACCTATAAATATTATAATAATAATAGTAGTTAGAACCCTCTTATTGTAACGGCTCAGCACCCGTTCCTACATATATCCGAACAGGATCCGAACTAGGGTACGATTCGGCCTAGTGGGAAAAACGACTATATAAACCTAA